CTTAACCGTTTGATCAATTCTGAAGTACAACATCTGAAGCTCATGTCATTTAAGTGCTTATCGGCATATAGAAGTCATTTAAAAGACTTAGTGCAGAAGGCGGATAATCAATAAATCGTGTTCTGGCGTTTGCCCTGCAAAGCAGTTATAAGTGTGTCAGAAGTCAGATATGAGGTTTTTTACTCGCCATGATACAGAAGATGTCGACTAATGCCCCATAACCTTGAACCCATCTACAAGCCCAGGTCCCGACAGCGCCTCAAGTATTATATCCACACTATATGGAGTGAAAGCTTCCAAAAGACTGCCTGAGAAAGCTGGTGATGAGGTGTGCTTAACAATGAGATACGCTGGCAAAACCGCTGAATCATAATGGGCCTCTAATTGCGGCTCTGAAGGCAGATTGCCCTACGTCAAAACTGAATGACTTGACTGTTAGCCGAAACTCTCAGTCGTCTTGACACCCACAAAAGATGCATGGATGATAGATTTGTTATCCGTATTATGGATGTCCATTGTCATGACGTCCTGTACGAGTCCAACGACAGCGTTGGAGGTCACCCTGGAGAAGGAATTGTAATAGGCTACTACTTTTTTCACGTGTTGGTCGAGAAACGCAGCGACGGAACACCAGGAACACCTATTTGCAGGGAACCCACGTGGAACGGAAAGCTTACTGACCTTAAGAGCTGGGTTAAGTAAAGAAACCCCATCCACTCTCTCTGCCATCGAAATATTTCTATTAAAGACTAGGTAAAAGTTGAGCTTCATTTCTTGGGTGTGCTTGTGGTAGATGGCGACCCAAATAATTTTTTGATTAAAAAATGCGGGGAAGACATGCGCGACAAGTCATTAACTCAGTCAATAAGAAGGCTTTGCTCGTGAAAACGAAATTGGAAAGCGATATAGCACCAGGGCTTCTGCAAAATCGTCTTTCTCGGTGGACTAGCAAGGCATTCATCGCAGCCAAATCTAAGTTGACTTTTGCCAGCCGTAAACTACTCTGCAAGTATGGAGGGACAGTAGGAACAAGTCCAGACGCTGCTGTGGAGCCAGGTATACCGACCGTACATAGGCACTGCAGCAGACGTGTATTGGAGAACACATCCCGGCCTGGGTTTATAAAAGTCAAAGGAAATGCAATAGATGTTCTACCCTTGGCAATATAAATCATTCCCATCACTAAACTGACGCAAACGATGATTCTTTACCGGCAGCCATCATGCCTCACTCACTGAACTCTCACTGAACCATGTCAACTTAAGATGTCTCAAGGTATTAGAGGAGAGCACACACAAACGTGGTAGCATGCTCTTCGTGAAGAAGGGCTTCAAGTAGCGGTGAAGGACCAATTGAGAACAAACATGTTTGAAGGGCCGATTTAGACACCTTCGCTATAGACACATGGGTTGACTGATGACCAAACATAAGAGAGAAAACATGTGTCTTTTGGACCGTTGCTGTTATTACCTGAACGAGCCGTTTCTGTGACATAGCCATATCCCTTGTACATTGGCCCAGTTTTTTGTGGGCACAGAAAAGTCTAGATGGGGACAAATATCGCGTGTTTGGCTGACCTACTGTCCCTACGCTTGGAGGTGAATACTTGCTGGAGTGAAGATTGAGGGTCTACAATAGCTGTCCCCCTCGAAAGAAATTGTTGGACCGGCCTGAATCATAATGATTGTGCTTCGTTTAATGCGCAAACCGAGCAAAGTGTCATCAGTAGCATAAAAATATGGTATCAGCCTTGGACATCACTGTTGGACAGAATCGAAGCGCAGTATGATGGGTGAATGCCTGTGACAGTGTTAATAATCAAGTCTGCCATTCATTGACACCTGTTCCATTATTACGTTTGCCAGGCACCTGGGATTCGCTTCGGTGAGAACCAGTTAAGAACAAACCACACTCAATATTCGACATCAGTGTGAAAGCATCGGAAGTAACAGGTCTGACTCCGAGTCTAGTTCCCGTGCCTTGCTTCATGCTTCTCCATTTTGCACACAATGGTTGACATCGAAGTCAGTTGTATCTGCCTGTTTTCGTTTCTGGCGATTCAGGCTTTTTCAACGAGCTTTTATTAACGAACTGCAGATTGGTGCTGGGGACATGGGCCGTCAAAAGGTTAGAAGTCTTCACGTGACTGCGGTCAACGTAGTGTTCGTGAAGCGGAATATCGTGAGGACCCTAAGACGATACCAGCCGGAAGTAAAAACCCAGTGGTTTCTCCACTGGTAAAACTCTTTCAATGGGCTCACTGCGTGAGGTGGCCCCTGGTTGTCTGAACCTTATTCTAGGGTGTCGTGGCGATTAAATAAATAAAATACAATAAATGAAATTGTACATCGGTCGCGGTCATCTGTTCCTTTCGACGTTCCGTCCAGTGCTCGTTGCACCTGGAATATAAATAAAAGTCTTTAATACCACGAAAACGTTCCGTAAAAATGGGAATTATTTATATATAAACGTATTGAAAAATAAAAATTTACGCTTATCTTCGCCGGTTTTTTTTAAGTTTTTATTACATGGTAAATAAAAATTGATATAAAAAAGGCAAAGTGTACAAGGGTTTGTATTGATGTATCGGGTATCAGTCCGGAGTTGTTTTGGCGTTGAGCCTTCGGTAATCACCGGTTGGACGCCAGTCGTTGCTATCCTTTTTGGGAACCATGTGCAATGGCGATGCCAAAGGACTGTTTGACGGTCTGATAATGCCCAGTTCGCGCATATGGTCGAATTCATTTTTGGCCGTTTGGAGCTTATCGGGGGCTAAACGGCGCGCTTTGGATGCCACAGGTGGGCCTGTGGTTGTGACGTGATGCATAACATTGCTGGTTATGCACGGAAGAGTGTGTTTCGGTTGTTGTAACTCTGGATATTTCTCCAGAACTGCCTGGTAGGACACGTCGTCTGATTGTTTAGTCCTAACGATGGCTAAACTCGGACCTACATAGGTGGTGCCGCCAATAGATAACTTTGTGCTGTTATCTATCAGCCGTCGACGGCGAGCATCTCCGAGTAGATCGTAATGGTTTAGCAAATCTATGCCAATGATGGGCATAGAGACGTCAGCAAGGAGGAAGATTCAGTGAATAGGTTTGCGTAAACCTAAGTTGAAGTAGGCATACCGTCTCCCGAATGTCGCGATTGCCTTGCCGTTGGCTGCTTGAAGATTGAAGGATGGGTCAAGATGACGCTCCTTTGTCGTTGCTGGAAGAACGCTAACTTCTGCACCGGTGTCGACGAGGTGGCGGACTTTCGTTTTAACGTCGGTGACGTAGAGCAAACGGCTTTTTCCGCCGGCGACGGTTGCCGTGACCACGTGCCGGCGTGACCGTTTCCCGAGTTTGTGTTCTTCTTAAAATGGCATGGTTTACGACATTTTCTGGCTTCATCCCCGTAAGTGTTATGAAACCAGCACCATTCAGGGTTTTCCACCCTGTTGGGTTTCGTTTTAGGGCTACCACACTACTTGCTGCGATGCGCCAAGGTGCGTTTCCGTGAAGTGCTACGTGATCTAGGACTTCGAGATCGTAGCAACCGTTTCACAGAGTTGCACAACTTGGTCACCTCCGAATCCTGGCGCTCTGTTTTGTCTCGGACAGAATATACGTTGGAGACGGGTCTGCTGGATATCTCCAGTATTTTACCTGCTGAGGCTGCCAGGTCGTCGAGTGGGACAGGCTGGAGTGTCACCAACACGGTTTGCACCGGTTGTGGTAGTTTCGAGAGAAATAGTTCTCGGAAGAAACCATCGTCAAATGTTCGTGCATTAATTACTTCTCGCATGCGTGCGAAGACTTCAGTAGCTGAGTGGCTGCCTAGCTCGATGTTACGAAGCAATTCGTCTAGACGTTGGCGATCTGTGAGATTGCTTTTCTTCAAGAGTGCGGCCTTTAGAAGTGCATAAGGGTTACTTACTTCAGGATTAAACATGTTCGCTGTAACATACCTGTTTAATTCTCGCGGTAGTGAACGTATGACGGCAAGAAATCGAGATTGAGGATCTGAGACACCCTGTTCTCGAAAATCGGCCTCGGCATTCAGAAACCATGCATCTGCATTGTCCGGCCAATATGGCACGAGTTGGATCGTGTTCGTAGTCGGCTTAATACGAATAAGCTTGGGTGTGTGGTCGGGCATGAGAAAGTGTAGTAAATGGATATATAAATGTTATTGAGGTGAAAACAATAAACAAATATAAAATGGAACAGGCTCACCAATTCAATACCTGTTATTGGTCGGGATATGTGATCACATCGGGCTCACCAATTTAGGAATTGTCCTGGTGCGAACTTGACAGACGCAAAGACCAATCACTAATTATTCGAACTTGTTATATACCCACGAATACGAGACCGAGGAAGAACACGATAGCGCAGTCGGATGGAATAGTATATTTGGATGGTTATGCCAAAATACCGATGCGTTCCAACTAACTGGCTAGAGAGTCGAATACGAGCAATGCAACGTAACACGACAGCGTGCCAAATGGAGAGGATGCTTGACCGGGTGCCTTCAGCTTACCGAGTCCAGTTAAACTATCAAGGTCAGCATCAATGTCGAAAGTCGTCAAACCCTAGGCAATTGATTTTGGGGATGTATGTGACGCTACAGTGTGATGGTATAGGGCTTAGTGGTCTTTGATTTTCAGAAGTAGAGAAGATTGCTAGTAAGGTTAGCAGTTCCATGTATGTGTTAGCGGTAGGCCTTGATAATGAACATGGCCCTCTGGTTTTTATCTAAAGATTCTTTCGACAGGGTTGAACCAAACCCTTATGACAGGGTATTTATATGAAACTTCCTTTCGAGCAAAAGTTTTGGTTTCAGAAAAGTAGTGGCTCATTGATATACTACCGAAGATCGAATAATAATATCGTGAAAGCACAACGAAAGGATTGTGATTCTCTGTTTTTTCAGCATTGAGGTTGATACGTTTGTTTGATCTTATGGGTTACACAAAGTTTGGTTTTCAGCGCTCTTATCGGATTTCCAAAATGGCAGGTGATGAGTCTCTGAGTTCATCGGATGACAGTGGGTCTCCAATTCTTACTGTTTTCGAGGAATGCCAATTAAGTAGTCTGTCACATGACCGCTTGTGCATTCAGCTAAAAAGGATTTACGACAATGTAAGTTTCGTTAAAGGCTCATCGTTTTCAACTAATATTTTGTCTTATATGGGAAGCTACTTGGGCAAGCTGGGCGTCGCTTACCACGACAACTTGACTTCGGAGGAATCAGTTAGAAATCCCCAGTCATGTCATGGATTTTGAACTGAGTCTCATTCTATCACCCTTATACACTGGTTATAACCTTTTTATAGGTGGAATTATAGTTCCCTGCCGTCCTTGGGCAACTACCAATCACCTTATAAACATGAATGTAGAAGAAGTTTTCCCCTAATTTTTAATGAGGAAGTAATGAAGCGGTTTACACTAGGTGTGGTTTTCTCGAGATGCCTTAAGGGTACGCTCTCAACTGGTTTCAGTTACCTAAAGTAAAAAAAACTGTGATAAAGACATTTATGCATATGAATTTGAAACATTAAACGACCTGAACCTTTGTAGAGATGTAAATAAGCCGCAAAGTGGTACCTTACCGCCTCTAGATTCATGTGAACTCCACTTCAATAGAGTTGAGGTAGAATTCGGAACATTCTAAAAGACGTCCGGTTCATGATTATGAATAATAGGTGAAGCATCATAGATTTCAAAGCACGAGAAGTCGTGAAGCAGCAAATAAGTACTCTGTAGGACATGTAATCTGTGCTGAAGAAATGTCCTACTTGGTTTGTTTGCATCTTAGTGACTTAATTAACACAGCTTAGTAAATAAGAGTCCAATAGTACTTTTGCAGGCGTTGGAAATGAGGGTTTTAGGTTGCAGGGTGTACAGGATAGGACATGAACATACTTCAATAGGAGTTTCTCATATATAATTTCGTCTTTCATACAAAGTGCAGCCTCGTAAGGAGTCATTCAGAATAATAATAGGTGATAGTATGGGGAATAGTTTCTTTTGGTGCAATCCATCGAAAGTCTGCACGGACGTCTAGGTAATCAGCAAAGTTGTTTTGATAATCCAAAGATCCTCAGTGCAGTAACACAGTCACCAACTTTGTTTTTCACTTCCAGGTCACCAAAAGTTATGTAGGGTTGCTTTAAAATCTCAGGAAACTACTTTGAAATGCAAAATTGGATTCTTTGTTGGATGTCGCAGGGTACGCTAACACTAAGTTCTCCACCACTAACATCATTTCCGTAGGTATGGTTCTGTATGAGATTTGTAAACGATAAGATGGGATAGATTGGTACTTGATTGTCCACAACAGGTTGCATGTTGAGCAGAATTAGACATTCTCAAGAACTAATTACTCTATGCGAGTGCGAGCAGAACCTGTGATTTTTCCTGTTTCCTAACTGTGATGAACAAATAAAGACTTGTGTTCTTTCCAGGTTCCTCACCTTCTGACAGTGGTTCAGTCTAACACGTGACTTTTCTGTACCCACAAAAAACTGGGCCAATGTACAAGGGATATGGCTATGTCACAGAAACGGCTCGTTCAGGTAATAACAGCAACGGTCCAAAAGACACATGTTTTCTCTCTTATGTTTGGTCATCAGTCAACCATGTGTCTATAGCGAAGGTGTCTAAATCGGCCCTTCAAACATGTTTGTTCTCAATTGGTCCTTCACCGCTACTTGAAGCCCTTCTTCATGGAAGAGCATGCTACCACGTTTGTGTGTGCTCTCCTCTAATACCTTGAGACATCTTAAGTTGACATGGTTTAGTGTGAGTCCTGCGAATGAGGTCGAGCAGTTGTGCGGTGGAATGGATGTGACAGCTATAAGAATTACTTGTTCCGTCCTTACTGGATGACGCTTCTAGTTGTGTTAAGGTCCTTATCCATTTGAGAAGTGAAGGCTTTTTTCATTGCGAGATGCGGGAAGAATTAGTATGAAGTGGTTTTGAGCAGTTTCAGAACTGTGATGTTACTTGTTGCCCTTTGTCACTGAAGAAGATTCTCAGACCAGTGGCAACAAACACTATTCTCACTGTCATGTGCTAGACACCGGAGCGTGACTGAATCATCCATTTGCTTAGATTTTGGACAAGGGCGTTACAGAGTATTGAGGCGAGATGTCTCTTATCATTTCTCCTATCATGTAGATTTTGAAATCCTATCTTGTTTTGTCGTCCACTCATCATCCGAATTAGTTTACAAGTAGGTGTTTGTGGTTGATTTAGTCGACACTGGTTCAGTCTACATCTCATCACTAACTAAAGCAGGCCTAACAAGTCCACTATCAAGTTTGAAGCCACGAGCTGTCAACGGCGAGGATATGCTGGTGGTAAGGTATTCAGACTTGCTACGGTAAAGTACAGACGGCTGTTTGATATCGGTGCTTCGCAGTAATTAGTTTGAACTAGGACCTGATAGTTGGTATGAATCATAGGTTGATGGTGAATATTGTCAGTTAAAATGCAGCTGGAAACAGCAAAAGTTTCGCTTGCATTTGCGCGCAAGTGTATTCAGAGTCGGGAATAACTACAATCAGATAAATCATAGGAAGTGGCATTACTGCATTTGTGTAAAGGTCCAAGTTTTCACAGCTGAAATCAGCACATTAAGATGGAACTAATGTGAAAGGTGATGAAATAAAGAAGAAAGTAATTACAGTCGCAGGTGGTCGTGAAAAGAGGGCAAGGGGTAATGTAACAGTGCTGGAGTTTAGTGTGATGATTAAGATGAAAGTAATGTATGTATGATACATCTGTGCTTCGGGGTCGATTAAGAACTGTGTTCTCACCTTGGATCTCCAACCTTTTGTTTATGTTGTTACTTGGAACGCAACCATGAAGTCTTCATTTATTGACACAGCTGAGATCAACGGTCAAAGACTTCATGGGCTGGTACCATGATCTAGTCTGGCAACCTCTGACTTTTTCCATCATGTAGGTACTTGAGCATGCGTGGATGGTGTTACCAGTATTATCATAGGGTACTGCTGGTTACCTAGCTGGGGCAGTCAGAATGTGGCAAATCCGTGTTAGAAGACTGGTGAGATGACTCAAAATTTTTTTCCTTTCATGCATCTTTACCTACTTATTATCTTCCCCAAAATGACGAGAGTAATAGGACTGTGAGTTAACTCATCCTACCGAGTAATCAGACGAAAGTGAATAGTCAGTTGTGGGCTTAGACAATAAGGGGTCAGCAGAAAATGTGTTGAGAAAATATTACCTACTCACGAGTAGTTTGGTGACTGACAATAAATGCTATGTGCATTGTATTCCGTTCATAATCTTCGTCATTGGATCTCCTTGTGGTTGAGGTGCTTTTCTGTGAAGTCACCCAGCGAACTTAAGAGGTTCTTGTTGGGGATTTCACAGTGTGAACATACACAGCCGTATACTAAATTTGCGACCCGACTTGACACCGATATTAGGCAGTGGCTAACGGTGGGATGTGTTTGGAGGGCATGTTTCGTCCTATCTAAGACTCGTCAGGTGGCTGTGTCTACCTTCTAGTGTGGGACATGGTTCCCACTAAGACCTGAATTCAGAACCCATCATTTGCAAGCTTAGAGTCTTATTCTCTAGGTTACCGAATCATAATGGACGCTCCTTGTGTGACAAGTATGTTTTTGATGTCATCGCTAGTAACAGTTTCAGATATATCCTTCTGCATGTGGTGTTTCGATTTATTACATAGGAGAGAGATATCCATTTGTAACATCTCACTTGTTTTAGTTCTACTTGTTTTTTCGTGAATAAGCCAGGTCCAGCCTATTGAGCAGATATACTTTTTAGTGTACTGTTGCGCTGGAATACTGTTTCCTCCTAAAACACAGTTTTCACAATTGTTATTGAAACAAGTGCTAATCTCCAGCGTCCATCCAAAATTGTGATATGGTTTCCCTAGCATACTTTTCTTGTCTGGAATTGGTTTGTTTCCACCAGATTTGGAAATATTCATCGTTATCGGGATGTCAAGCAATCTTTCTGGATTCCTTACAGTGACCTGATTCTCTTGTCTTTATTTTATCTTACAGATGCGCTTCACACATTTTGCTGATGATTTTTTTGAGCTTTGTCGCTACAGTTTGGTATCCAGTGAACAATCGCTGTATCGAGAAAGAACAATTGACTTCATAACAAAATTTGCACTTTTTTGTGGGAAATCAGATGAAAATAATGATCAAGATGTGATGAATAACCGTCTGTTATGGAAATTTTTTCTGTTCTGTATCAAGGTATGTTTCTCTGACCTTGTCAATCATGTATTCATTAAACATCGTTATTAACTAATATTCATATATTGTACCTATTGAATGTATACCACAGTGTGGACGTACTGGTCTTAGAATTAATAATCTTTCAGAGAGATTAATGTCGGATCAGGCATTACTGCTCAATAGTCTAAGGTGCCACGCCTCATATCAGCACAAGTAACAAAGGACTAATATGAGAAAAAAAGGAAAATCGGTCAAAGGCAGTAGAAAGCAATAAAGAAGAGTAAGGAGGATAGAATGAGATGCTGAATTTAGTTTATCAGTCAAGATGAAGATAATGTGTGAATACATCTGCACCACTGACACTGATTCGCGCCATATCACGTAGAGTCTCCAACCGCTGCTTCTCGCAACACGTGAACTCCAACCGGTTAGTCTGCATCTCCCAACAAAGCACAAACTAAAAGTCAAAGACTTCATGCAGTGACACGATGTTTTAGTCTGACCCGCTCGAGCATTTTCCCAGCCTGAACCTGCTTCAAACTAAGATTGTACGAGGAGGTAAACGGGGACTAGGCATGCGTAATTATTATCCAGCCATCTCAGTCAATCAATGTTCACGTCTTACTAACTTCCTAAAGCTCTGCACCTAACGTTTGCGTTACTGACGTGGTGACACGACCTTGCTGCTAAGGCAATGGAGGTCAAACATCACAAGCCTCCTCATGCCCCCTACCTTAGTGACCATGTTTAACAACTTCAGAGCGAACTACAGCACAGTACACTCGACCCTAATAGGCATTCGGACATCGTAGCGTCACCACAGATGGTATAAGTTGGCGAAAGCCAATCGAGCCATTTATATCGGTGCAGAAATTCGTCGGTCACTGACCCACCAGGGCTGACTGGACTTCCCAGATAAATGAAGTGGTCAACGCACTCTGCCACTTCACTCTCTATTGTTAGCCGGGGGATCACCGAGGACCAGTCCTGGAGGAACAACTTGCATTTGGGCGGGGGGAGGGACGCATCCCAGACATTTGCAAATTGGCACTCAAGGTGTCTAGAAAACTCCGCATCTTGTCAGCATCACCTGACGGGACTATGTCATCCTTGTATTCTAGATCTACCAAGGACTCTCGAATCATCAGACCACTTCCTGTGATGTCAGATGACAAGAGGAAGATCTCCATAAGAACGTATATGACAATTGAACAGGAATAGAGAGGGTAGGCATCCTTGATGGACACCACTCGATGTACCAGTTCACCCGGCAACTCATCGTAGGCTCTAGCAAGTCCATTGATGTTCAAGTACAGATCCTTTAAAAAGGTGGTGTACCTATTTGATGCCCCTTTTAGTGTGAGACACTGCCATTATACCTCTCGGTCGACGGAGCTGAAGACCGCCTTCAGGTCGAAAAATCCAGCTAGTGTCCGGTGTCAGTAGGCGTACATGTTTTCCATAATCCGGCGGAGTGTGAGTATTTGATCGTTACATCCACTACTAGGTTTGAAGCGTACCTGGACTTCTCGGGTTCGCTGTTCCCGAGCTACACTTGGACGTCTATTGGTTATGGAAGCTAGAATCTTCGACACTATATTCAGTAGGTTGGTTCGTCTGTGATTATCACAGGAAGGCGTTTTCATCTTTCTTGAAGATTGAGACAATCAGTGATTGAGACCTGTCGGGGGGGGGGGATCGTGTCTGATTCCTATGCACTAGCTAACGCTGGCTAATTGGAGAAAAATCCTGAGCCGCTGTCTTTAAATACCTCTGAAGCTAATCCGCCAGGTCCTGCTGTTCTGCATCGTTCCAGGTAACCTGCAGCTTTCTCGACTTCTGGAGTCCTATCTCAACGTTCCATCCGGAATCTGACTGGATAGTGGACAACGAAATAGCTGATGATCAGTTGAACCGTTCCTCGAAGTGTTCTGCTCATCATTGCAGTCTTCTCTCCTGCGAGTGAATCACAGTCCCATCCTTCTTCTCAGTCGTTTCACTAACCATTGACCTTTTCGCCCCAGCTTTCTTGATAAGTCTAAATAACTGTCTACCTTTACATATCGTCTCTGCCTTTTCCATCTTCTCAGTCTTCTCTGCCCACCACTGTTCGTAGTTATTGCGTTAACTTTTTGTCAGTCTACGCTTGATTTGCATTCGCTATTCGTTGTACTCAGAGCCGGCATGGATGCATTCGCGTGCATCGATTAATTAAGAAGAAACTGCTGGAATCCACTATCTCTGTCTAACTACTCTCTGAAAGTCAGCTACGGTCTTCAACGCTGTTTTTCCAATAGACTGAAGATGACATCAAACTCCTTGTGGATGACGAGTGATATTGTTCTATCCTGATAATTGTCGAGCCAGTTTCTCACTGAAAAGCAGCCTTGGTGCTCTCATTGTCAGGTTGCATTCGGAGTTGTCTTGCTGCTAAAGTTTTCCTACGTTTATTGAGACGCAGACGTATATGCGCTCGAACCAACGCGTGGTCGCTGTTCGAGCATGTGCTTCAGTAGGAGCGGCAGTCTTCCACCTACCCTTTCCAGCAGTGACTGGTGGCAATGTGCTTTACCTGTGTCCACCGCTTCGTTGAGCTCGGTGGACGCCGCGTCAGACAATGTCTCTCTTTATTTCTGAAGTTTGGACTGTCTATAAACAAATGGTTATTTGAGCCTAATTGTAGTAAGCGATCACCGTTATCCGTTCGTCTTACCACCTAAGCGCTTTTCTTCCTGATTCAGCCTGCCCACTTATTCATTGAAATTACCTGCAACAACTGCAGAGTTTTCAGTAGGTGATTAAACGGTTTTCAAAACTCATCCTTCGCTTGATCCCAACTACAATCAGTGGGTGCGTGAGCAGAGATTACAAACAGACAGACAAAATCAACTAAGAAACTCGCGCACAAGTGCATCGACTCAAGTTACCACACTTCACGGTAGTATATAGAGTACAAGTGGTTAGAAAAAGTGATGTCAAAGTAGACAAAGTTGTGTGAGAGAATAAACAATCTGAAGATGAAGGTGAGTGAACGTCAATGTTTGAACACATCTGCACCACTGTGACTGATTTTCAACCATGTTTGTAAGAGTTCTCAACCACTGATTCCTTTCGTCTCGGCAACCTCAGCCAGGTAGTCTACATCTCCCAACACCGTTCAGACCAACAGTCAAACTTCATGGACTAGTGCCACGGCTTGGTTTGACCACCCCGAACTCTCGTCCAACCTAATCCAACTTCCCTAGCATGGCACGTTAAGGTAGGTGGTGATTCGATATGTTCACAAATCCAAGCCACCTCATCGATCAACTTGCCTGTCTTGCCTAGTACCCTTTGCCTAGCCTCAACATTGCTCATACGGCGATTCCACAAAACAAGACTAGTGCTACGAATACACCTGCAATTAAAACCCCGTAATCGTTTCATGTCTTCTGTTTTTAATAACTATGTCTCATTGTTGTTGAGAGCTGGGAGAAATTAAACGTGGTAAAGGATTGTTAACTGAGAGATGTGAAGTAAGATTAGGAAGTAAGGATATGGGAGGCAGAAAGTGGTCTGAGGGAGCTTGGATGCTAACAGTTATGAGGGGGTTGACACTTTCCCTCCACCTACTCCGTGGAAGGCTAGTTCTCGAGGTACTCGAAAAGGAAGAAATAGTGTATGGTCACAGAGCCCAGGGGCACCTACTTGATACCGATCAGACACGAACTTTCCTCAAGTTTGAGATTTTAGGTTTTTGCTTTTGAATCCGACTATGAATCCCTATTGCAGGCATCAGTATGGTACGAGGGCTGGGAGTATGTCATTTTTGTTTGGGGTCGACTTTTTCTAACACTCCCCTTCCCATAGGGAAGGAAGCATTAGCGGCACTCCTGGTCATCTAAGGGAAACACCTGTCATACCCCATCAAGCCATCAACAGTATGACTTCAGCCTCAGACCCCATCATAGCGTAGAAATTTACAATATAGTGGTAACTGCTTTCTGTCTAACCACTATCCAACAGACTGTTGTGGTATGGTAAAACCTCGAGGGAACAAGCGTTCGACTAGCATAGCTCGTTCGGTCATTGTGATATACAGTGACGACTACCACGTCAAGCGTAATCTATCAGGGTAATCCTTCAACACCTGAATGGGATTCTGATAGTGTACATCTGAATAAATGAGGCAAAAGTTATGTGAACCATCATATATTGATAATATCTTGGTCTCTCATTACTTGTTATAGACGTGACTACTCACTATCTCATCATAAACTGTGTTCTTTGGTCTACAGGTGGTTTTGGTTTCCATGAGTCACAAGAGGTCTTGTGAAGAAAGAGCGGAGTATGTGTGCATAGAACAAGTTTTTTGTGATACTGATTTTGTTCTCAAAGTTTTCGAATGGTATCATTCGTTTTCTTCACTTTGATCAACATTTTCCTTTTTCTTCCCACTAGTATAATGAATGTTTAAATCCTGCTGTACGATTTCGGTGTGCGCAAATTATTCATAAATTACTTGATGGTATCGGAGACAATGGAGTAATGCCTGAAAAGATATACGAAAGACTGCAAAGTGTGCTATTACGCCGTGTCTTCGATACAAAGGTTAGTGCCATTACTTAATTACCTTTTCCTAAAAGTATCTATGAACTCTACCTTGGTGGTGGTCAGTAGACGGGTCTTTGTAACTCTTCTGGTCGCTAGAACCCTGGGCCAGTAACAACTCCAGAAATCAGTCCATGGTTCCAGTCCTACTGTGGTTCTGTTTTTATTATTATTTTCGCCTTCGGCAATCGCTCTGTATGAACAACATCAGTGCATCAAAACTCGGCAACCTCAAATAGACATAGAACCAATTCTGCAATAGTTTAGTTCTGTTCGAGCTTCGGTTCTTAGTCGTGTCGAATAGAGTTTAGAGAACATCAAACAATTGTCCTCCTCATCCTGAGTGATAACATTTTCTATCTTATCATTTTTACACGTAAGTTTATTGTTTAAATATGTAGGACAACGCGACCTAGAGTTTTTGGTTTTGCTGCTTAACCTTTTCTTATATACTTGTAACATGTATTGTGAAGTTTATAAGAGAAAAACGGTATGTTAATGAGTTTGGTGTAGGATTTCGATTTCAGTCCCTTCCTGAAGCAAAGCTGTGAATTAGACTTGATGTAGCATGGTCTGGTATGCAACCACTCCCATATATCTTTGTTTACGTTAATATTAGCCTTTTCCCATTTATATGTTCTTTGCAGACTACTGTGGAATATGGCAGCTGGAACGGATTCACTTGTGTACGAAGTTCTACGTTAATTTTGTCTGTCTGTTTGGTGTGGATTTTCTGCAGTGTAGTCATTCGCATAGGTAGTGTTAAGTATGTTGTCAGTAAGCTCCTCACATTTTCCTGCCGGCTTCCAGGAGTCTCGCGAGAGTCAGTGAGGAATAGGAGGGTGGGTGGGGGAGGATTCATGTAGCAGTTAGGGGTCAGTGATGCATAATGTCCTTGCTGTGTATTGATACTGTACTCACAGGGTAATGAAGCAACTACTGGTGTTTAAGTCATAGTCTCATGTTGGTCGGAAACTATTTTGCCCAACAGTTGCATATATGCATAGGCATACGCACGTGCATAGGTATGTGGCCGTTTCTCTTCGACCGTGTTCTCATATTTCGAATGTAACAGAATCCTAAAGGGCTGACCAAAACTTCCTAGAAGAGGGAAAATTAACTTCGTAAGTTTTAGGGTATTGCAATAACCGCTTAGGATCAGATAAAAAGTACTCATTTCAATTTTATAGTACCTTGACAGTAGTTTGACATGAATAATCCAATGCTTCGTGCATTCAAACCAATACCTGATGCGAGTGATATTTTGGGACAATACCAGTTAAACTAAACTTTAGTTGTTGATACTTGTAATTTCCTGTTATTGTACTGGGGCGAACTGTTCGACCTCTGTTGGCAGATGGACTCGTAGGTGGGTGACCTGATACTGCCAGAAAACTGAATATATAATTTGCTGCGTGACGGTAGAATCCAAGAATTGCGTTCTGTCTTATTTGGGATTCGTCAGCTGAATCTGCCTGCATCATAGTGAATGATGGTGTTCCCAATGAGGGGTTCAGGTACATTCAGTTGACTAGCCCTGAATATGATGAAATATGCGTCGTGGATTCTGCAGCTAGCCATCTAGTAAGTTACAGCATAACATTAATGTTATCTGTCAGCTCTGGTGCAAATAATGTCAAGCATCACGCCTATTATTCGTCAATTCTGGCTTTTCGATCGAGTAATGAATGTTTTCCTGATCGTCTCTTGTACAGCAACTAGACAGTTTTGTCTATATTGCTGTAGGGTATTCTTTCTGAATTTTTATGCTGATAGATTATCATCTGCTACTTTGTTTTTCAGATCTTTCTCGGTTTTCCAGTTCGATCTAACTTCACTGATCATAAGGCGAACTTCTTGTTAAGTGAATATGAGGACGGTGTACACCTCAGAATATGCACTCCTACTGATGGAGGTGACCTTACAGTCCCAGGTATCTACCGTTACCACTTTAACGGGGATAATATCGATTACCCGAAGTGCATAATGACCCGCTTAGGTCAACCGTATCTCACACATTGTTCTACTTAATTTCATGCTTCCTCTCACCGCTGTGTAAACGACAGTAGCGAAGTATTTCAGCCTTGTCTGTCTGTTTGTTTAGCAGACAATTGGTCAGGTTTAGGAACCCACTGGTAACTGTTTCTTCAGATCTTTTCACCTAACCAGGAGGGATAATGCAAATCTCACCATTGTGAGTGTTCAGTAGTGGCTGCTGATGCAGTCACCATCTGCAACGTATCAGCAGTAGTAAGGAAATAATATCTCTCTTCTACCGTATCCCAGTGTAACTTTTTGTTTAGAACAGGAAAAAAAAACTATGGTCTACTTTATTGATATTTCTTTTAGGTTTGTGTTCGTATTGAGGCAATTCAGGGGATTTCACGTATGCAGGACCCTACTGATACTGAATGCCGTGTAGTAGAGGCACTTATATGGCTTACACGTCATGATCCTTCAGCTGAGGTGAGACGTACTGCCTTGGCAGCAATGATGCTTACTACACGGACTTTGCCGATTCTTGTTGAACGTTGTCGGGATGTCGCTGATAGTGTACGCCGTACTGCTTACAAACTTTTGTCTTCTCGTTCTATTTTGCGACCTTTATCGATTGCGAATCGTATTCGTATTCTACAGCTCGGATTGTCAGATATATCAGGTATTTGTGAAATTTATTATTGGATTGTGTTTACTTTGATATTGTGCAATGTCTTAGTTGGCGGTTGTACCAGGAAGTCATCTATTTTCGGTAAATTTGTGTTCACTTTAAGACGTGTTCACAGTTCACTTAACAGTGACTGGAACTTACTGATTTAAGCATTCAGCAATGAAATGCCGACGGATAGCTGTTATTTTGACGTGAAGTGGTGGTCGAACTTGTATATCACAGTGACCCGATGAGCTATACTCGCTGGGACGCTTGCTCCCTCTAAGTCCTACTGTTTCAGATGGGTCTGTTAGTGATGTCTTTCGAAAAAAAGCAATTACCATTATGGTGTAAATTTTTACCCTATGATAGGAGTCCTAGGATGAAGTCGTACTGGTGGGTGGATGGTGTGTGACAGGAGTTCCCTGTTGATGCTGACTTGTCAGTGAGAAGTGAAAGAGTTGGTAGAGACTATCCCCCGAATAGTACTCTCCTCTTTGCTCTGCAATCTTTCGGTGTTTGTGATATGTATTTTTCCTATTCATCTTTAGAGTGGTAAAATCGCATAACATCAATCCTTAAATCACTGCGTGTGACGGATGTCCTGTAGACTAGTGTCATACACGTCTATTCTCTCTCAGATACCCCTGTGGAGAAGTCACAGTAAGTCATAGATCTCACGCCACATACTACCTATTTCAACTTGATTCATCGTGAACTGACATGTGGGTAAATATTGAAAGCCTGGGAGCACTAGAATGGGACTCCTCGGGAGTGTATACCCGTGACCCCGCTAGGGACCGAGTTCAGGACAGTCAGGTTTGCGGTGAGCTCGTTACTACTAAACCATTGGGTGGGAATCGATTGGTCTGCATTTCCCTACTTCTGTCAATCAAATCCCCACAAACCTTCAAGCTGAATTACTGTCCAGTGTTGGTTAATTGACGTGCCTTTAAATGAAGTATACCGAGGTTCTAAGGAGAAGTCGTAACCCATGAGGAAAACCCAGTTGAATCTGAGGACAAATGCTCAACTGAAACATTGGATGAAGGTCATGCGTGCTATATCGTGAATGGACATTTCAGTTTCGCGTTTAGTGGTGCAGTGTGCTTCACTCGTGTAACAAGTCGGAAGCAGATAGCAGCATATTTTGTAGCATTGCTTCTCGTTGTAATTCTTTAAAACATTTTCAATAATAATAAGCTTTGATAACCCTTGTATTTAGCTTCTTCTGAACTGCTGGAACATATCTTGTGATCGTTATCATTATTATTATTATTATTATTATTACTGATCATTGATTTACAGAGGATGTTCGTGAAGCAGCTAAGGAATTGGTTTTGTCTTGGTTTAATGCAACGAATAGAGATCCAGTCCAACTCTTAAGACGATTGGATCCCGAAGGTGATCCGGCAGCAAGTCAAAAGGCCTTAGATAGTCTTTTCGGAATCCTAACATTGAATGAACTAGTCAAAATTGTAGAGGACTGGTCAGCGAATTATTTGAATCCTGAGTGAGTATCTGTTTCAATCTTCCCTCTTATTAGCTTAATCATCAATTGTATATCAGTGGGTTACGTTTTTAGATGATTGTGGGGTGTTGTTAACATTACTAGCCTAATTTAATTTTGCCATTGTTACCTTCATAGCATAGATTATGTCTTGGTCATGACGTGAGTAGTGTGGTAGTGAGGGAGTAGAATCTTAGGGAGGAAAGGAAAGTCAGTGGTCAGGTTATGAACCTTCATCTACTGAGGTGGCTGGGAAATGTGTTACGCATGCGTACTCACGGTGTTCCTCGTCAAACAATTTTTCCTGAAGTAGTAGTAGGTTTAAGCTGAAGAAAGGCGAGGGAAGAGGGTGCCAAACTAAAACTCGGCATCAGTGGATGAAGTCTTTTACTGTCTGCACAAGCCGTGTAGTGAAATGTAGGCTTGCCAGTTGAGGTTGAAACCATTTAGAGTCAGTGTGACTGGTAAAGCAATCAATTCCCTTCAGACTATATAATATAGATTGAAGGGAGGCAACAACGAAAGAAAACAAATGTTATTTATGAAACCAACTGCAACAGTTGCGATCAGCTATATATTTTACAAGGTGGTTGCCGTCTTCACTTTGATTTACATGACCATCAGTTGGCTATTTAGTGTCACGAAATTTTGTCATTCATACATTTAGATAACTCCATGGACGTGAATTCGATTTTGAAAATGTAGGGTGTTTGATAGAGGGAACACAAAGAATATCAGAGAATTCCTAGAAGCTTGGCATTGGGGTCAGTCAGCAATCGGTAGATGTGTAGAAATAGACCTGGTCTGTCAAGCAGTCAGAAAAATTATGGATCACTACAAGGTCAGAGTCAGAAACAGAAACACAAAATCGCAAACTTGGTGAAGGGTCGTGTGTGGTCGACCTCAAGCAGATGTCCCATGAGCTGTGGGGCCACACAGTACCCTTCCTTTTCAGGTACCTCAAGAAAAACTAGCCTTCCACACTGGCACGCTTCCGGTAGTTTGTCCACATTGAGTCATTCACTTGCAATGAAATCTACAAAGCAATGAAACACCGTTAGAAGCTGGTAGTTCAAAGCATGACTGTTCCCTTCCTGCAGGTCGTCCTCACCATTGGTCCGGAATTATGACTTCAAAATCGAACGAATGAATGAATGAATACGAATAATGAGCTTTAGATTATCATAGGCGGATATAGTTGGTTCGACACCTTTTTTCATTACTACTTATTTTCTGCAGCTAATTATTTTTCTGTTGGAAAATGTGATATATTTTCTCAATTTTCAATGTTATGCCTACCCTTTTTTTTTACTACCTCTTAGTATGCGAACTCTCAAAGCTGATTGTCTTACATCTGAGGCGACATTTTTCTGGCGGGCCTTAGTCGAATTTATTGACAAGAAAGAGAAAAATGCCTGTAGAGCGAAAAGCAATCTACTAGTGCTCAATGAAGATCACGACGATGACGAAGAATCCAATGTATTACAGTTATTGGCTGATCTAGTTCAGCCATCTGTGACTGCTTATGTTGATCTGGCTAAAAGGTTGGTTTACTCATCTTTTTTGAGCCATAGCTTATCCACCCAGCCACTTGACGTTCATCTAATGGGTCGTATGTTTGCACCCCGTTTCAGCTACCAGAGGTCTGACCACACAGGTAAGTGAGTATCCGTAGCCGTCACACAAAAGATGTGTAACTCAACGCCTACTGCACAGAATTGCCTTGTGGTTGCTCAGTTTTTTTCGACTTCTTGACATGGATCAGTGTATGACTATGGAATTTTAGGATGGTCAGTGAACGCAGAGTATCAACCGAGTTCTTACATATGTACTTATACTAATAAGATAAAAGTCACAGTGGGACCACAACAAAATCCAATGACGTTTGATACTAGTATTACGTTTAGCTTTTGTAACCGTAATAAGTGGTTACAGCAATAACTTGGCAGGCTTGTTATGCGTGAATGGAACCCTTAGTCATCTCGGTGAAATTGGTGGAATTATTAAGTTATAATTCAGCAAGTGATAAGTTTCAGTGTTTGCCCATACATAACCAGGGTAAGCGCGTGTGTAGTTCAGTAAGTAGGTGAAATTGTCTGCTTAATTGAAGTATATAGTTGACTTCTAAATACATGAATCAGGTTTAAACGTGGCTTCACCAGAGAGCCAACCAGGCAGTATCACGATTCCGACGTACGAATCTGCATGAGGTTTGGTTACAGTTACGGTCATAAGCTGTTAGTAGCAACGAGATAAGTCTGATTGGCTGGATTGTTCCATTTGTTTTAAAAGACTATGCATCTAAGGCTTAAAGTAAGTATTACTTATATGGACCAGTTTAGTTCAAGATCATATTTTCCCCTCACTGATTTCCTCACGCTCGATCACGATTGAAGTAGGTGGTTGCAGGAAAAAGTTTAAAGATGTCTAGACTAAAATACGAAATCAATGCCTGAAGCATCTGGCTGCTAATGTGAAGTGTGTAGGGAAGTATAGACTTGTCTGTTGGAGTCCACCCTCAATCGCAATTGGCATTTGGAAATGATACAGCCCAGAATCAATCTCGATAACGCAGACGTATCCTCATAATTATTCTGGTAGTCGTGCTGAGTTTTTTCACCGTCTCATTTTTCGTTCTTTTATCACGCTACTCTGCACCACTTTCTTCCTTATTTCTGTATCTTCCATCTTGGTATGTTGTCGCTTGATGTTCTGTTGTGAGTTGTGACGACTTCAACAGTTACACGGTATCTTCAAACCTCTGATTGATTTTCACTCCATACAGTTTGTGGCTCCGAAATAACTGTCTGTTGCTAAAAGAAATCAATTGTTATGCATTGGTCCTACTTTGGATGCAATAAAATCAGCTATCTTATTCTTGTGAGTTATGATGCATTCATAACGAGCATAATCTGCGGATATACACATATGTGCATGACTCGGACACAAGTAACAAGGCTAGCAAGCACTAATGTTATCTTCTGCAGTACGAAGTTTTGAGGGAAGGGCATCATATGGCTAATCTATCTGATTCTGTACAGAACTAAACATTGTTGTGGAGCTGTGGCTACTCATTGGTGTAGGGACTTGATTTTCAACGGATGGGTTATGAGGTATGATCCAACCCCATTTCGGTTGCATAGAAGTTTCCAAAACCCAGTTATAAAACTACATATGTTTATTTCATGCTTAGGGTTTTTATGAATGCTCAAATTTTCTTGCAGTTTATCACTTGGACATATCCTTTCTAGCTTTATAAGATGGTGTTTTTCTTTGACTAGTGGTCATTTAACAGAGGCTGTTGAAATCATTCGTTGGGAAGTTGAATTTTGTTCACTCATACGCGTATCAGTCTTCACAAAGTCAGTGAAGTTGGCATCATCGGTAAACAAAAAGTGAAATAGTAAACAATAATCTGTAGTGGTAACGCCTGTAAAACTTGAAGCGTAAACTTGGTTCTTACAGTTTAAGTGAAACTCTTACTTGTGGCGTTTGATCGTGTGATAGATGTAAATTGTGCTTACTGATTGTTCAAACTCTATGTTGTTTTGAGTTGATTGGCGTCATGAAGCATACAATCTAATTCTACAGACTTTCACAGATTACACGTAAACATTTAATAGTAGATACACTGAGGCAATATTGTCAGCGTTCAGCAGCAACACTATAGGTCAGGTAGTCATGGGTTCCATCTCACTGTATGTGTTCCGCAAATCTTTTAGGTGTGGTTGTTGTCTAATGCATCGAAATGCACATGATTTTGGATTCACTGGATGAAATTGCTACCCTGCACTTGATGGACTTTAAGTCACCCATCACCTGGTTGTATGTATATACACAGCTATATTGAAGGTTGAGGATATGAGTGTTCGAGCATCGTTGACTTCATAGCATAGACCTTGTGTTGTGGTGTTACCACGTGAGTGACGCAGAAGCCAGGTGTAGTTTTAAGGGCGGCGAGGAAAGTCAGTGAGGTTGTGAACCTTCATTGACTAAGATTACTGGGACATGTGTTATTCATGCCTAGTCACCGTCTATCTCATTGCAGAATGTTATCTGAAGTAAGAGGTTCAGACTGGAAAAAGGTTACAGGTGGCCAGACTAGGACATGTCGTCATTGCATTGTGGTCTTTGGTTGTTGGTGTAAGCCACGTAGAGAAATGTAGACTTTCCGGTTGTGTATATCGAACGACAACAGTAACCAGTAGTTACAGACTTTAGATGATGACATGGCTGGGATTTATCCTGCACACGTTATCTTCGTGTTCATCGTCGAACTGAATCCCAGTATTTTCTCGTTTCTTCTCCCTCTCTTTTGATCACTTTCTGCCACTTCTGACTGCCTTCTTCACTGTTTCTCTATCCTTCACCTTGATGTTTTCTCAATTGATAATGCGGTGAAATGAGGTGTGGCAAGTTGTACCGTTACACAGCAATGCCGTATCCTGTGTTTATTTTATCCATCTGTGCGACACAAACAATTCCTCATTGGCATCCTATTTTCTCATTTTCCCTGCTAACTGGTCACTTATTTGTACACGTAATCTATCAAAGCGATATTCATTTATCATTGTAATGTAGTTCAATCGACCGATTAGTCAATCAATCTTCTCTCGTTATTTTCTCAGTGTTGTAGAGAAACTTGTTCAAACCGTTCTAGCTCAAGAATTTGATGAAAAGGCTATTGAACTAGAGTGTGTAGTTGAACAAATTCTATCAATGGCGAGTTCCCTTGATCTCAGCGACGAATTCGGTCGAAGACGTCTTGTATCGTTAGTTCGTGAATGGATAACTAGTCAGCAAGTTTCGGGTACATTGGCACCTCAATTGTTAAAGTTGTATGGAATTTTAGAACCAAGTTCGGTTAGTTTGTCTTTTCCGTTTTATTTATAAATCATCCAATGTTGTTTAGAAGGGACATTTTACTATTTATTGGTGCTTAACGTTTCCTGTTGGCTATTGTTGTTATTGCTAAAGCAGCGAATGGATTCTTTTTTGTCGACATTATGGGCTGGCTGGTTGAACAGATGCTCGGATACTTTCTGTAGATCTATTATGATGAGATTGGTGGTGGCTAACAGTGAAATGCTAGACGGGCATTTTATCCAGTTTGTGACTCATTCATCTGTCAGCAGGGTGTGTCTACATCCCAGTGGGTGGTGATTTTGTTCCCACTGAGTCTGGAACCTAGCGCCTATCGCTTGAAATGCAGGAGAGTCATTTGCTACCTGAGTTTGTGTCATAAAAGCCGCCGCTACCACTACCACCTGCGCGATGGGTGTAATTTGTTATTGACCGGTGTTCGTAATTTACCGTTGATTTTAACATCGCACCGAATAGATTGGCCTGTTGTGGCCTATGGGTCCGGTTGTGAACAAATCCACCAATATTTCCTCAAGATTCACCTGGATGTTATTCTCTTGGCGATGGCTAGCTAATGGAATGGACTCACATATTGTCCTATTTCTGTGTTGAAAAGGAGTAGGGGTTTAGTATTCTGTTATTGCATTGCGACGTGTGGGGAAATTTCCAATTTTGACTACGATTATTATTATTATTATTTTCTGTCTGGAAATCTCACCCTTTTCTAATTCGCCATATCTGAAACACGCTTGAAGTGCTGGGTAGTGTTTGTTAATTGGTGTACAGACAGTTTTGTGGTTTGTAATAGTGTTAAATGGTTGATTTCTTTTCAGTCACAAAAAAATAAGAACAGTGTCTCTCTAACCTATCAATTGACCGGTCAGTTGACTTTTTGTCGAGCGTTTTCTGGGTACTACTTATTTAATATTGCTATGATGATGTGTGATGCAAAGATATGCATTAGATCACTAGTTCAAGTCTCTTTTGGCCTAACCTGCTATATCCACTTCTTTTCATGGTACTCTGAAGTATATCAACCTGGGCTGATTCACTTGCGTGCCAGGTCCTAGGTCTCTTTGTCTGACTGACTTTTCTGTGCAACTCTGTGCGTTTAACGTTCAAATGGATTGATTAAAATGTGTTCAAGGAATGGAAGTTGTTTACCTGAGGTTGAGGTACTCATTATCAACCCACATCCATCCACTCACTGATCAGTAAGGCAGCAGGAATGTTTATAGTTATTGTAGAAAACCATGCTGTTTTCGTTTTTCTTGTAAGCGGATTTCGGAGGTGTTTACATTTCATCCGCTTATTGAATGATGACATTCAGCTACGTCGACCAATGTTGAAGGTGAAAGATCCTCTAAAGCAGATAGATAGACCTTGGATCGCTTATTATTTCTACATTGGTTGAATTTCAAAGCTTTGGCAATGAGGACAAGACGGTTTTATTGTCTTTATACACCAAGATAGACCACTCGGTGAATCGTATTTCATTGGAGGATGAAGCATGTCGATCATGTAGATAGATGTGACAAATAAGTTCGAAAAGGAAGAAGAAAAAATTTTCTTAGATGGAAAATTGAAGTTTTATTACTGCGGTGGACAGCTTGCTTCGGTTATGAGACAGTTGAATTCTGCGTGACACTGTAAAATTCATGAAAGATGTGCTGAGACTACAGTGCAAACGAATATTCTCCCTAGGAGTAGTATTCATCATGGAACCTGGAATCAACCAATCAATGAATACGGACAAACCTCTGGATTATATTACTATTTACTACTCACTTAGGTTTTCGCGAAGTTTTGCTGAAAAGCTGTCACTTGTGGGATAAACCAAGTCACTCATGAAAACGAATACTCGCTGATGGTATTATGTGATGTTTACACCATGTCGCGAATTTACAGAAGTGGGAAAATGCCATGAACCATTAGATTCTGACCCAACGGGGTTGAGTATTGACGTCCTGGCTGGGAGACCGGATAGTTCTATACTCGACCCCTGTTGGGGTGATGGATGGGCACTTTCGAGGAGTTAGTCACACACTAAGATGAAACAGCTGTCCAAGTACTTAGAGATCTAATGATAGTTCTCCTACTGATATCAGTCCGTGATTGAGATTACCTTGAAACACACCAATCAACCCCTACAGACCTCTAAACTGAATTTATTTATAGCATGAATAGAAAGTTTCATGATCGGAAATTGTCCCTTTCATGTATGCTATCTTTTACCCTGTACCCAGGTGAGTAGATATATATACCTGTCGATTTTGGAGGGGTTTGTTATAATGCTTACATACAATACATTTAGTATGTGCCGTTTCTTTAACAGTTTTCCTTTTCTTTCTCTCTCTCCATTGTAGCGACGTTGTGTAGACAATGTTATTGAAATGATTAATGAGTTGTGTTATTCAGTGGAACCACAGAGTGCAGCGTATGTACCAAATGAATTGGTGAACAGTTGTACAACTACAACTACTACCACTACTACTACTTCTACTAATACTACTACTACTACTACTTCAGCTAAGATTTTACAGACCAACCTGCACTTTCAAGGAAAAAGGAGATAGATTTACGTTTAAAGGTTTGTAGATCTTGTGGATACGTTTGTTGCTGTTGGCGTCGTCATCATTATCCCCATCGTTGTTGTTTCTGTGTATATTCGGCTGCTGCTTTTCTGAGCTAAGCCCGTTGGTAACTAAATCATCCACCTTTTTATCGTAATCTTACGATGGCTTACTGAAGGACCATTGGTAGGGAATCCACGTTAGATATTGTACTACCGCTGATTGCCCCGGAAATTGTAGTGGATTTTACTTCAGAAGATGTATTTGTTGATCAGCAGATTCAGTTTACAGTCGAAGACATGCGGAGCAATAAACAGACAAAAAAGAAATCAATCTTAACCACCCGTAAGTATATCTGTGTTCCAAACTCTGTCGAAGAGTGAAAACTGGATGAATGCACCGTCGTCCCGATCTGAAAGCTCCCTGGTTTCCTCGAGTTTACCGTTGTCAAGTCCCTCTTGAAAACTCTCATAAACTGAAATGATCAAGGAAGTAGAGGAACCTGATGGGAATACCTGTGACCTAACCCCAAGCAGTGCTAAGAATCCCCGTTACTCTACCTATTAATTTTGCACCTTTTTCATTGAAAACTTCAGATGAAGGCTGTCAGGTCCTACTGCTTGAAGTTAGAAATAGCCTTGTCAACTTCGAGGAGAGTTAGAGGAGTTGGATCTACGTTTACGTGGAATTCACGGTGCGACTGTTGATGCTAGACAACTGAAGGATGAAGGTTATCACCTGCATCGCATCGTTTTTGGTGATGGTTTCGCTAACCATTGTCTGCTTCTTGCGGGTATCTTTTATAAGCGTAGATAGTTTCCGGTATAAGATAGCATTGATGCCCTCTCCATCTCTTGCTCTTGCCCTCACCACTGCTCGCGATGATTACCAAGACTCTTGGGTAGTTTCGATTTAAGTTGCGTTGGATTTTCATCATGAGTTGTTTGGAAAGAGTCTTCTCGCATCGGGTTGGGAAGACAACTGGCTTTTCTGACCTTTGGATGTAAGTTGACATCTCTGTCGCTATTTCTAGTGCAGACTGGATTTTACAATAGGTTTCTCATCTAATCAATCACAAGTAAACTACACCACTGTTTCCTATGACAGCAATTCTTCGGATTATGTCCATATTCTCCTAGTCGTATTTGTAATGATGTTTGTGTATTTGGATTGTCATTTTACTGTTAGTTGGTGTGCATGATTTCCTTGAGCGATCCGATGGCTAAACTTGACTAGTCAACGTAGTGTTGTGGAGAATCTTTGCAGTTGGTTTTGTTAAGAGGAGCTGCCATATGAACCCACCTACATTCAGTTATGCATATATATCGAATTATTTGTGTATTTTTATGCCTGGATATAAAGAGATTATTACTATTATTAAATAGTAGTAATAATTAGAACATAAACATGGTACACCAAGGGGACCAAGAAATGTGCCACACAAAATAATAAAACACTATTTTGAAGACATAAAACGAAAGGAAGTGGATAAAAGAAAAAAAAGAATAGGACGTCTAGAAAGGCAGTCCAGTAAGATACTTTCAAAAACAAACATCCATTACTTTTCAACCATCGCTGGTTTCGATTGTGAATCATGTCTGATAATGTCTCAAGCCACTGAGTTGCGTAATCTCTCGACCCCCACCTAGGGAGTCGTGATGCACCAACAGATGCTAACCCTATACAACTATCCTTCATCCCACGGGATCTCATCATACACTGACCACCTATCGCTTCTTCCATCCGGCCCCCGGGGCTAGTAAAACAATGAACAGTGTGGAAGTCGTTGAGACGATATGCGTAACACATGTGCAAGCCACCTAAGCCAGTTTTTGCAGATGACTTCACTAATTGAATGATGATCTCCATCATGCCCCATAACACTGTCGTACCTCAGAACTACTTACATGATATTGCCACCGGAAATGAGGAATTCTATAGGAACAGCGATGATAAAACACAGAGTCGTCTCACATCCTCAGTTTTGAGAGGCCAGGTTTCACAGGCATAGAGTTGAACTCCCACCGAAGCCTTGTAAACCCGACCTTTTACCATCAGACTGACGTCGCTATGGGGCCAAAAGTGACCCAGATTGGCGTGTGCCACTGTACCTTTCGAAATGCGGTTGGAAATTTCATCACTCACACCACCAGCACTCACACAAGTATAAAGAGAGCCTAGTCGTTTCAAATATTATGATTTGATTTTTAATTGCATTTCAGATCGCTAGTCTTGAAGTTCGTATGAATGAAATCAATGAATCATTATACGGCTGTGTTTCCGCAAAGAATTTGAGCGTGCCACAGAACTACGAGATGCTTTTAATGAATTAGATAGTGAGCGTACAAAACTGTTACGAGGATTACATGGACGTGTTGCTACCTTGTGAGTTCTTTTTTCAATCCTAGTATAATACTAAATGAATAAGTAATGTGTAGCGATGAAGTTACAAAGTACTTTTATATGTGCACCGACGTCTTGTGCTCTGTAGTGAGTTGACACTGATCCACCTAACGAAGCAGAGATCCGTAAGAAGTTGGAAGTTTTAAAATGCTATGCTACTGATAGCCAGAGTCCATCTAGTTGTCTCTTTCTCAGTTTACTGAATACCGTTCGTAAGCCTGTAAAATAGTGCTTATGATTCCCAGGTTTGCAGTTGATAACGAATTTGTACATCGAAATGCGCTCACCGAGCGCTTGGACGTTTATGCAGTAGATAGTGAGCCACACGTATTCTGTAAGGGCAAATAATACCACCTGACTCAGTAGTTGGTGCTGCGTTGAAACGCGTTAGCCTACCATCAGTTGAAAGACAGGTGGCTGTGAGGAAAGTGAGTGTTAATTAAGGAATTATACAAGATAAAGCAGATGTCAGTGTTATTTATAACAACGAATAGTGCACTTGATTTGACGTATCGGATGGTACATTCTGCTGCTACCCATTCAACAAAGTAGAACTTTTCAGCATTTCTCTGTATAACTTGTCAATAAATAATTTCATCAGTATCTTCTGTTACCTCCAGTACAACAGAAAAACCGTCATCCTCAACAGATACTGACGAACAGGTGAATAGTGAAAGTAAAGTATTCTTCAATAATGATGACAATGGAAGCGGTTCCGGTTTTCCAAATAGTAATCATGTTGGCAATGATGAGAATGAAGGAGCTGAAAACACAGCTGAGAGTCTTCTTCAACGTTGTTCATCTGCTGTATTATTCAAAGCAAATAGAATGGCTTGTTTAGTTGTACAACATCTCCTAATCTGTGGTGTTTACCAGCTTCATTGCGTTCATTATTGGATAGTCTGGTACGTGTATCTTGCTTTGCCTTATTATATCTGGTTGTTACACGCTCTCTGTAAGGTGTCCTACTTTGGTATAATGCACTGTTATTATTGTTGTTGTTGTTGGTCTATGTGATTATGAAGAAAGTATAAATTTGGTTGTTTTGTGTGTCATCGACAGGATACGAGTTAGTAGCAGTCACTTCTCATCTTGAGTTGAGAATTTAGATTTTGGCATTTAGGAACGGGTCGGATTATGTGATTGAAGGTGAAGAGAAGACCTAGTTTGCGGCAGTATTTGAATTAGTCGTCTGCGTTTTAATGGAGTGGCGCTTTATCAAGTGAGTTGTGAGACGCAAATGTTTATGACTAGGTCCTAAGTTGACTTCGTTGTTGCGGAGGTTTCCATCTGGCCGCCATGTGTTCAGTTGTCTGTCCACAGCTATGCCTTCACTCATATATGCGTTTTACAAGTAGTTTTAAAATTCTGACCATTGTCTTCTCCGCAGTTATATTCACTGTATGAATAAGAGTAGCTATGAGCGTTAAGCTGCAATTGAAATGAAAATACTTGACTCAATTCGTCTCTTTCATACCTCTTCGTTCACACTCAACACAACTGTAATGCCGTTTTTGTTTAGGCGATGCATCTCTGCGTTCCCGCTTGTTGCGTATAGAACTTTCTTGTGGTTGTCTAATTTGCGAATGTGCCAGTTAGTCATTCAGTCAGCATTACAGTGGGACCGGATATGGCATTACTTGGTAACGAGGGTCTAGGGTGCCACATCTGAGTCATATAAGCACATCAAAGGAGAATAATGCATCAAAGTGCAAGGTGAGGTAGAAAAGTAAGGAAGAAAGCAGTCGAAGTAGTAGAGAGTGGGGTTAAGGTGACAACCAGGAACGAAACAGTAGAGTAGATATATGACAATTAAGTTCATCTGAAAAAATGTGTAGATGCTTCTGTACCAGTGAGATCAATTTTGAGCCGTATAACCAGTTATAGTCTCCAGTCATTGGTTTTTATCTGTCACATGAACTTTAATCGGGAAGTTTACATTGCCGTACACGGCTGAAACCAATGTTCAGAAACTTCATGCACTGATATCGTGTTTAAGTCTGCCCAACTTTTACATTTTCCCGAACTGCTGAAGTACAATAATGATATAGTGTGGTATATTATTATAAGTGTAGAGAAGAAGGAAGCGGGAGTGTATGAGCTAAAGTTAAAATGTTTGTAGTTAATAAGATGATGATAAAGTAGAGCATCTCTACTCTATTGTAGTCGGATTTCTGCAGTATTGTGATTTGCTATTCATTAGACCACATTTGTGTAGTATGCAGTAGCATGTTGTTCTTGGTAAAAACAAGTAGTTATCATCCGATTGGTAGAAATTCTGACGGGGAAAACTGTAAGTGTGGGAAGGAATTACAAAAGCTAAATATGGAAGTAACAGGAATTGGACGTCTACTCGCTCCAATGTGTAGCTATGGTTCATGGGTTTAGGGAGATGACTTTCAACCAGAAGGTGGCAGATTCGAACACCGCCCAACTTACTGAGGTTTTGGAAGCCAGATAATATCATTAGCCCTCACACGATAGGTGTCGCTCATTGCCTACTGCCTAAACGTGCACAAAGTTACAGAGTGCATTTTGATTCGATTTCGATTCACTTGGATGTGGTAGGATGATGAGACTACTTTCATGAACTGGGTTTAAATATAAGCTTTTCCTACTTAACCAAGACTCAATGTAAACATGTTTATCGAGAATCTGTCGTAAGTCCTCAGTACCACTAAACACTTTCAAGCCTTGATTCATGAAATCTTGATTAACCTATTTGTTGTACGACTGAAACTTTCCACCACGATTTGTATCAGCAGTCAGTCAATAACTTCCTGCTTTGATGCTGAAGCTGATGAGTTGTAAGTCGTCCAATTTTGTAGAATTTTACTTCGTTTTTGAATAGACATGCTTTTTTTGGAGACTTCTCAGTGGATTTCTTGTAGGCCGATGTCATATTTCTGATACATATTAGGTGGGTCGCTGACAATTAAAATGTGTTTAAGGTCTGTTTCTCGCCTTTGGTAATTATAAATTGTTGCATTGATGTGTGTTCGCCTATTCATCATTGTACACGTTGTAGGAAAACAAAAGGACTGGTGCAAGAAGTTTTATCAGCCAACTGCTTTTCATTCTGTATTTATTCGCTGGTTGATGGATTTGTTTACAGATCTCTTATAGTACTTATTATTTGCCTTTTTTTTGTTGAGTCGAACATTTACTCTCACTTTCCTTCGAATATACTAAATTAGTAGTGATGAATTTTACCTGATCTGTCGTGAGGAATTGCAACATTGTAGCACTGGACTTTTGTAAGCAGTGAGTCATTTACTCGACTCGAACAGCACTCTACCTACGACCGAGGTTTCGGCAACTAGGCAGTCTAGTATCATTAGCCATCATACATTAAGTGTGTAACTGATTGCCACTGCCACCGTCTCCTACTGCACAGATGTGCACAAGGTTGCAGAATATATTTTGGTTTCATTTTGTTCGTGTGATCAATGCATCGTTTATTGAGAAATTCAGTGTACACATAACACACATGTATGTTGTTGTAACATTCTGGTTTTCACTTCTCTGTAAATTATCTTTTTAGATATTACCGAGTATACAACATTCAGATGTTGCTGTACGTAATCAGGCTATGTTGGCGTTGGGTCTGTGTTGTTCAATGGATTTACCACTGGCTCTACAGCATATTCATGTGTTTTACTCAGTAAGTTTTTGGATTTGTGTGTATGCTTGTGTGAACGCACATATAGCAAAGTGTATCTACAAGCACGATCAGTGAACGGGTGTTACCTCGGTGTTTATTATGGAGTCAGAGTTTCCCACTAAGTTGGCTGGCTACTCAAGTCATGACTAACTTCCTTGTGAGACTACTAGGAGCATGCAGGAGGTTGACACTTCCCGCTGCTTACACTGCTTAAGGTTATTTCTTCTTAGGATAAAAAAAGAACTATGTGCCTGCAGAGCCCATCGGACATCTGCTTTTAGATCTCTGAGGATTGTTGGTATGAGATATGATTGTTCTAACGCCGGACTGAGAAGAAGCATACCACTGACACTGGAAGACTGTGGGACAGGAAGGAGTGTGCTGTTTCTGGGAGAGCGACCTTTTGTCTAACCCGTCCTCTTCCCAGATAGAAGGCAGAACTAACGTGACACTGCTGGCCATCCAAGGAAAACACTTTACTGTCGCCACACCACATCCAACCAGCAGTATATCTTCGCCCTCAGACGCCTATCATAGCGTAGCAATTACACCTTAACGCTAACTGTTTTTCATCTCGCCACTATCCAACTGATCTATCTGACACGGTAGCCCCTCGAGGAAGCAAGAGTTCCAACCAATGAAGCCCGTTGGGTCATTGTGATATGTAGGTCTGACTGCCACTTCACATCAAGGTAGCAGCTACCGACCTCCTTACTGGGACTGACTGGATTGTGTACTCCAGTTGGTCATCACCAATTGGTTGTAAGTCTATACAAGTAACTGCCTGGTCCTTAATGCTTAGCACTGATCGTGGTCTATCACCTTAATTGCATTTATTTCATAAGTCTTAAACTATCTGCATAAGAGATGCTTTTCCTTTTCAAGTCTTGAACTTCTGTTTGTTGCAGCTATGTTATCAAATTTATTTTGCCTTTTAGTGGTGACCAACAGTGTGGATTACGAAACACATTCCTTTCATCATTGTATTTAGAGTAATAGTTATGACTTATTTAACTTGGTATCGAAGTTCTCACATAGTGGCGGAGTCAGAATTGAAACCTCCTACTTGTAACAGTTACTCCATAATCATCTCAGTATGCGTCATGCAGGAACTATGATACCTTGGTCTAGACACCTGACTCAGCCGATGCGTCACAGGTTCGAACGCTGCCCGACCTTTTGAGATCTAGACATCTGGTGGGGTTAGTAAGCATCATTAGCAATCGTAGTATAGGTGTGTATGACTGCCTATTACACAAGCGTCCCTTGTGGTTGCTGAGTGCATTTCCATATAAATCGCGGAATATCCCCGAAACTGAGAATGGCAGTTAGGGGGAAGATAATTCGATTAGTGTTCTCGATAATTTCATTTTCTGAGTTTGCATCAGTATTGTCAAGTATTTAGGGAACTCAGGACACGAAACGTTATTCCAGATCCCTTCTAGGGTTCGTTTGAATCACTGTTTGAAAGCAAAGGGATATCAGTTTACAAATTCAAGAGAAAGTATGTGCAGACACTTTGTTTACCACATGGCCTTAAAACTGTTAGATTAAAATCTTTCCAGGAAAAATAAGGGGTCAAACTTCGTCACGGCCAAATAGTGAGTCTCTCACAAAGAAATCTGGTTTGCTCACATTTCACATTGAAGTTCGTGCTGCTGATGTTGTTTAGAAACACAGTGAGACCTTCATGATTGAGCCACTCAGCCTAAAGAATTAAAGAAGACATGTATGTGCCTAAAATCCAAGATATGATCAGTGCTAAGTAGCGTACTTTATATTGATGAACATCGACGACTAATAAACTATAAACCTCTAATGATGAGGTGTCTATGAGTTTATCGCCGTGTAAAGGATTTTACAGGAAGTGCGTCAACAATATCGGGAGCAAAGCTGTATCCCAAGCTAATCAGAAAGAAGTATAAGGAGAGACGCGCTGATCTCCAGAGCAAGATATAAAAAGCATGGTATAAACAAATGATCAGGAGAGGATATTAGCATCACGGAAGCATAACCGAAGAGAGCAAAAGGTTGCTATAAAGTGGAAAAGATATGACTGGAATGAATGATGTATCAGGGTTACGGTTAAGGTAACGTTGCGATGGAAGAATGTGAATTACGCTACTAAAGGGAAATTAGAACACATTAGGAAAAGAATTAACCGCACGGAAACACACCCTTGGAGTTGCGATGGGTAACAACAGTTCGAATGTTCCATTGTTGTAACGTTTTGCTCAACTGCATTATTCTCTGGATTTTTTTCTTGTACGTTGTGTAGGCTATGCGCGTGGATCATTTGATGATAAGTGAAACAGCTTTAGGCTGTATTGTAGACTCCTTGTTAGTCTTTGGATTTTTGCCATTCCACGATGTGAATATCAATCCAAATGCGCGACTGCTACCAGCAGATACTTCTGGAGCTGCTGATGGTGATGGTGACGTAGAGGAGATCTCAACGTGTAAGTCTTTTACAAGGATATTTAGGCGTTGTTTGACAAGAACCGTATTGGCGCGTTATTTATCCTGTGAAGTATTTAAACCATTATGTCACTCCTCCGACCAGTTTTAACAAAGAAACGTGATTAAATATTCCTGAACAGTATCTATGGACATGTGAATTGAGTTATAACCAGCCAAACTGTATTACATTAGCTTTAAATGAGGACAAATATCCCATATTAAACAGACTTCCCCACTACTCTTATGTCAGAAGACAGTGGAATGCTGGTGAGGAGAATGTAGGTCTTCATTCGTTCATCACATTTAGGAAACAGGGAAGTTCGCAAATTTTCGTCGCAAGCATATACACAGTGTTTAGTTCCTGTGAAACATGCAACCTTCTACTGTGCATAACGGTACCGATCTATCTCATCTCACTGTGAATCACTTCTATGGAAATAATGCTGGGATGGTAGGTAATTTAGTTTCAGCATACTCTGTGATATCTAACAGAGAATCTTGTATTGCATGCTATTGTAGTTTTCTAACTGTGACCATCAGACAGAAAAAGATTACTTTTTCGGATTCCAGAATTTATTACCATCACATGTAGGTCAGCTTATCCAAATTCTTCCCACCTGGACATATGCGGTTGCCCAAAGTTGACAGAAACCCGCTGCTGTCATGCGATCTCTTGATTCCCCTGGTATGAGAGCAATGCAGACACTTAGACCTCAATGACAGGTTGACTAGATTTGATTTATTTAGCCTGTTTTCACCGTAAACTGCTGGCGATAGCGTATGTCATGAAGCAAACGGGTGTAGGAGTCTATTTTCCTAACTAAACATTCCTTATATAACCAACGTTGAACCTCTGACACGGAAGTACATTAGTTCAAGTTGCCAGACTTCGCCATACTATACGAAGAAAAAATGCTTAGAGAGTGATATCAAAGTAGACAAAGGTGGTGTATGGCAGAAGAAATATGAAAATCAAAGGAGGTGAATACATCTTCGCTACTGTCATCGACTTCCAGCCATGTCACTCACCGTTTTCCGTCATTGATTCCTACTATCTCGAGCACCTCAACCACAAAGTCTGCACCCTCCTACATGGCTCTGAGTCCCAGTCAGAGACTTTGTAAAGTGATGTCACGTGTTGGTCTCGCCACCGTCAGCATCCTTCTAGCCCAATCCTGCTTTGGCCATCATTTCACGTCGAGGGAGGTGTTGGCTTGATATGCGTAGCACATGCTAAAGTCACCTCAGTCGGTAGGGTTCATAAACGTTATCGACTTTCTTTCCTTCCTTTCGGTAAGTACCCTTCGCCATCACCATCCAAATCACATGAAAATGTATCTTAAAGCATGCCTTCACTAACAGGAGGCTCATATGCCACGAGAAACTGATGAATTCATCAGCAGGATCAATAACTATAAAAAACAATTTGACAGATAAAGGTTTTGAGTGAGTACAGTTTTAAGGCACCTTTACTACCTATAGAGTTGGTTGTCGCGTCTTTCCAATGTGTCTGTGTACAGTTAAGTTAAAGTCGGAAGCTTGGATTCACTTTATTTATTATTTTCTCTTCTCCCCTTCCACCTCCAGCTTATCATGATTATGTTGTGTTGACCCGAGGATTGCATCGAGGTTCTATACTGTCTGCAAATCGGTCAAATCATTCTGAGAGTGTATTGGTTCGATGTGATGAAATGTCAGAAACAGCGTATCGTCTGTTGAAGCCAATCACTTCCATTTTAGAGAAGGAAGTAAGCAACTTTGTTTTTTAATCTTGTTTTATTTCATTTTATTCTGGTTACGAGTAGATTATACCTTGGTTAGTGTGTGACTAATCAGTTCAACTGAGGGTAGTAGTAACTATTAGGTTCGAACCCCACTTCTCTCGAAATATGGGCAACCAGATAGCAATTATTATCCTCCTGACAATAAGTGTGTAGTTCATTGTCTGCTGTACTGACATGTCTTGTGTTTGCGAAGTTCATTTCGATTTTCTACCTTTTTTGGTTGCATTTTATTCAAAAAATTTCTCACCTCACATGCTGTGCCGTTAGAATACCGTAATGATTGAAAAAAGAAGTAAGCTTTGTATAAACTTCTCCCCACATTGATATAGAACTATTTCGATGCAGTGCTGAGGCAGTCAGTTTATGGTGCCACACCACATAATAAAGGGCAACTGTCTCAGTTGAGTAAGTATCGTTTAGCACATATCTGTCACTGTGTTACTTATGATGTTATCAGAAATCTTATTGGATTGGAACCAGTGCTGGTCATACTGCGATTTTGTTCTCTATTTTTATGAAACGATTAGAAAACGGCAAAAGTTTGCCGGATGTATAATCAGCAACTCCTTATCCTTTTTCCATCATTCTCTTCTGCTATCTCTCTCTCCTCTACATTTTCACATTCTTGTCAATTCAAGTGCTACATTTGCTGTCGGCTATGCTCCGTATGTGTAAGAGTATTAGACAACTTGAACTAATTTACTCCAGTGTTTCAGGTTCTACATTGATCTATCAGTTCGTGTGTGTGTGTGTGTGTGTGTGTGTGTGTGTGTGTGTGTGTGGACTCCGCTGCATGTGTATAGTCAGTTTGTGAAGTGACCAAATTATCTTTTTTTCGATGCAATTTCTCCGCAGTCGGGTGTTTTTCATGTACTAACAGGGGCATGAGATGAGGAAGGCACTGCTACAGCTTATGATACCAAGTGATTAGTTACGAGAACATCGATGGTCGAAGCCCTGCAACCGATTCATGTCTTCTACCTTTCACAACCATGTCTCACAGCCGTACAATAAGACAGAACGGATTCAGCACAGTATGCTCGTCCTTTGATAGATAGCCGGATATCTCGCCAACGCCACATATGACGTAAAATGGCAAATGCCTAACGGGCCTTTTGTATTCGAGCTGAGATTTCGTCTGCGACCAGCCCGTTCGGGCTGACGCAACTCCCCGACTAAGTGAAGTGGTCGATGCATCCCACCACTTCACTCCTTATCATCAAACTGATGATGATTAGGATCGTTATTCGTGTAGAAACTGCAGGTAATAAGTATCTTTTGTCCTCATTAGGTGTATGGGTCGTTCATTGTCTGCCCATTGTAGGAATGTGACATGTGATTGCTGAACGGATTTCAACTCACCACAGTTAAATTGAGTTAGATTATCTATACGTAGTAGTTGGGAATATGTATGTCTTTATACTTTTTAAGCTTTGTTTCTGCTCATACTTTATTTCTATGGATTTCTGACATAGGATGATGGATTACAGTCAACTGCTGCTCTTGGCTTGGCTAAACTCTTAATCCATAATCGTATTGTCTCAAGTCATATCCTCAGTTTACTCTTATTGCTATGGTTTAGTCCGTCTAGTGTGGATAATCCACAGTTACGTCGTGGTTTGGCCTCTTTCTTCTCTGACTATGTTTGTCCTAATGGAATGGGGATGGGTGCTTTTGAGCATCAGTCAGCACTGGCTGACGCTGTCCTGCCTACATTGTCCACATTGATTCGTGCACCAGCATGTTCACCATTATCTGAAGTTGACGCGTATGGTGTGGCTAGTCTACTAGCTCGTCTAACAGATACAACACATTTGATGGGAAATCAGTCAGAGGCGAAGAATGTCTCCGCTGGTGCTGCTGCAGAAAGGCCTACTCATAATAATGGTGAAGATGGATGTCCAAGTACAAATGAACCGAAGCCAGTGTCAAGTGTTGCACCAGAGAGTGAGAAAATTGTAAGTTCCCAGTTGTAAAGATATACTTCCTGCGTGGATTCTCTCATGCAAATTTCATTCAATTTCTCGCTGTCTCTCCTTTTGAAGGAAATTCTCTTAGCTTTTTGTTGGTTCAACATGCGCATCCGAAAAGATGCACCATTATAAAGAAGTGAAAAACGAAAGAGGTAGCTACAGCTGAGAACTTTCGTCTCTGCTTTCTTATTTTTTAAAAATATTCAACAGCCAGCCTACCCTGTAAAGTCAGTGAGTTGTACATTTCTGGTAGAAGACTGAACGTTTGGCTCTATGAGTGCATTTCAAAAAGGGACTGGGAACATAGTATCCCACCATATCATGATGTTCGCTTTGATGATGCTCTCAACTCGTGAAATCCATTCTCTCAATTAATTACAGCTGTTTTAGTCAAACTAGAAATTTTTATTCTTCTGATTGAATTGTAAGAGAATCGGCTATCATAGCAAACAGAGATAGTATCCCCACCCCCAATCATTTGATGGCCAACTTCCTAACACACCATTTTTTCGTTATTTTCCATCTATTTCATACGTATGTGCTCGTTTGCCCTCAAACTGTGATGCTAATTTACAGGTTCGACACTTTGAACGGAGACACTAGTAATCTTACATAACTTTGAAAGTCATTTCAGCGCTTAAATCTTCAGAAAGTTAGCTGACGGTGTTGACAGCCATTTCTTTGTTTATAATGATGTATTCTCTAAATAGCTAGTTGAAAAAGGTTTCAATATCGTGGTCATCAGTGCACCATAGCCTCACAAGGAAGTAAAACAACTGATGTGCATGGGGATCATTAATCAGTTACATCGATATGACTCACTTATGTCACCCAATCAGGTTCAACATACCCAAGCAGTCATGAAGTGATCCGTGAGGTTACAATGCGGTAAAGTAGTAGCACGTTGTAAATGAATGTGCATGCACAACCAATTACTACACCTTCCTGTGAAGCTCTGATGCATTGATGATGACAATATGTGTGTAGCATGCCATTGAAATCTCTGTCTCATTAAGAAGTCTAATCTAATCAGAGAACAACTTACCTACTCAGAACATCCACATCCTGAGCTGGAAATATTTGTCACAACTTCAACCTTTCTTTTTCTTACTGCTGCTTTTTTTTTAATCTTTGTTCAAATGAAGAACAACCCACATCATGATCGATTGGTAACGATTTTGGCCAATGAAGTGTTGAAAGCTCCACAATCAGCTGAGGCTAAGTTATATCTTCGTATGCTTTTCCAACTACGACCGTCTACAGATAATATTCAGATCCATAAAGAATTATTGAAACTTATCGAGTCTATGGCAAAGGTTGGTTTATGCTTGGCTTGATTACACAATTTGTTTGTTTTTGTTGTGACGGTCAAGGCGTTCTTTTTCTCACCTATGAAGAGATGATGTTCGATAACCGCCATCACCCTGCGCAGTTTCTTGAGGTTTTTTTGATGATGTTCAGGCCTAGGTTGTTTTTGCCGCAAACGTACTGTGTCAAAAAACTGATAGTATTATGGAAGAAAGTACACTGGTTCCCCGCAATGAAATCCCGTTTTTTTGAGTTTGGCGGTATAGCCTGCGACTGGGAAATATGAACATTAAAGATGGAGGACCTGAGAAGGCTTCAGGTGTTCGACAACTGTGACCTTCACTGAATAGACCATTTGTCGTGGTGTCAGTACGCGAGTATGGTGGAAACCGGACGAAGAGGAGTTTTATGTAGAAGAGGAAAATCAGCTGTTGAGGTTGCGAACGTCCATCGATTCAGGTGGCTATAGGATGTAATAAGTATGTCTAATACTCGACTTCCCGCTTGACATTAGAAACCAGTGGTTGTGGGTGACCTTTAGTGGTGGTGACGTGAGTCAGAATAGATCTATCTCAGTGGTGCATTTGCTGCATCCACATATTACCATGTTAATCGTCATATTAAATTTGAGTATTGTCATATTGCTCCTTGCTCTGTTGTGATGACCTTCTACCACTTTTGACTCCTTCATTTCTACCCCTTTGTCTCATCTCCTAACTTGATGCATTGATTCATTGTCGCTTATAGTATTATTATTATTATTATTATTATTATGTTTCCCTTGGGTTCCTTGTGGAACATAGGACTTCAGTAGCACGCCTCCTTTGCACTCTCTTCTCTGCTGTCTTTTGAACCTGGCGCCGCGACTGTCCACAAGCTTTGATTTCTCCTCACATGATTTCCATGTTACCCTTGGACCCCCAACTCGTCGTTTCCCGTCTGGGTTCCACTCGAGAGCCTGACCTGGTGCGTGATGTCCACAGTCGGCCTCAGTGTATGTTTACTCCAATCCGTCTCCACTTTCTTCTGTATATTTGTTGGGTGATATGTTCGTTGTTGGTTCGTCCCCAGGCAGCCAAAGTTTCCTGTTGCTTATTCTTTCTGGCCATCTGATCTTCAGTATCGAGTGAGCTGAGCGTAGGAGGCAGCTGTTAATAACTTATGTCTATAGTTTGTTGGAAATGCTTTTCGTGGCATGCTAAGTTTCTGAACCGTATGAAAACACTGACTTGATATTGTGTTGAATATCCGGATCTTGTTCTTTATTCTGAGTGCAGCAGATCTGCTTTCAGACTAATGAAGGCCTGTTTTGCTGTTTTTCCGATCCTGGTTTTGACATCCTCATCTGTGCCTGTGCCGCCTGTAATTGAAACGATGCTGCCTAGGCAGGTAGGTGAAAGAGACCACTTCTTTTAGGTTTTTCCTGGTAATGGGGATTTGTGCTTGTTGTTGATGCTGTTGTCGGTTGGGTATCTTCATCATCCCCGTCTTCTCTACATTCATTTGAAGTCCTGTCTTCGCTGCTTCTTCTGTCAACTTGTTAGTTTTTGCCTGTAGATCTTCGAGTTTGTGCCACAGGACATTAGACAGAAACTGTCATCGACGAAATCGAAATCTTCTCTTGGGGTCTTCTCATCGGTCCAGCCAGTGTATGCTCATCTTCTCGCTCCTCACAGTTTGTTGCATGATCCAGTCTAGTACAGTCGACCTCAATCAGGAAGATGATGGGTGTTAGTGGGCGACAAACTTGTCTTACTCTTTCCTGTTTTCACTTCAAGCGCATCACTCATCTTTCCATTATGAATCACTCGGCATGTGGCATTATCATATAATTGTTGAATGAGGTAGATAAAGATTTGTGGCACATCGTAGTCTTACAGCAGCTGTCTGACAGATTACTTCTCAGTCGACTCTGTCGAAGGCCTTTTCAGAGTCGATGAAGTTGAGGTAGAGAGTTGAGTTGACTGTCATTTTATACTGTGTTCTATGATGATGCGTAGGGTAGCGTTGCAATTTGATCGGCACATGATTTGTCCTTCCTGAAGCCAGCCAGCCTGCTGTTGTTGTAATTTTAAATCGAGAGCATTTTCGTTTTAGTCTCTCCAGGATGATGCTGCGTAATATTTTGCTTGTTGTGGACAGGAGCATTATTCCTCACCAGTTCTTGCAAAGGCTTACACCTTCCTTCGCGATTTTGACAAGGTAGCCCTTCCAGTCCGCAGGTATCTTTCCTTCCTCCTAAACCTTCTGTAGTAGCGGTGTGAGCATGTCCGCTGTTGTCTCTGCGTCTATTCTCAGTATTTCTGGAGGAATTCCATCTGGTCTTGCTGCTTTGTCGGATTTCAGTAATTTTATGGCATTTGGCACTTCTGCTTTTGTCGGAGGGCCTGTGTTCACTGGTATTACTGTGGCTCGGTCGCTGGTGGTAATCTAGACGAGTTGCAGGTGACGGTCGATTCGAGTTTTTGAAGTGGTCACCCCATTGTTTCCTTTGTTTCTCCTCTCTCACCGTAATTAGTTTTCCTTCACTATTTTTCATTGGTTTTGTCTGCGTTAATCTCTTCCCGGATAGTAACCTGGTTTTTCGATATGTTTTCAGATCTCTCCTACCTGCAGCCTGTTCCGCTTCACTTGCCTATGTGTCGTAGAAGTGTGTTTTGTGTTTGGGCGCACTCTTTTTCACTTCTTTGTCCAGTGTCCTGCAGGTTGTACTCAGTTCGTCTTTTCGTTGCTCATCCTTGCACTGCACTGGTTCATATTCTGCTTCACCATATTCCTCTCCCTATATCAACTTCCATGTTTTCGTCGAGGTCCTTTCATTGTCTTACTTCCTCTTCCTTCCTAATACGGTTATGCAGATTTCTTTTCATATCTCTTTCAAAGAGTTCCAGTGTTCTTCCAAGCCCGATCCTTCAGAGATGTTGCCTAATGTTTCCCATTTTGTTCTGATGGCTGGCGTGAAGGTAAACTTTGTAGTTTTATCCTTCTGTTTTCGGTGTGGTACTTGAACTGTGGTATATCACCAACTTCTTTCAAGGCTTTCAACTTGGTTTGGAAGGTTCCTTGCACTAGATAGTGGTGTGAACCTACATCTGCTCCCTTCTTCATCTGATCTTGTGTCAAGTAGGCTGCGTCCCCACTTTCTCGAAATTGAGATGAAGTCGGTCTGATTGTCAGTGTAGTGTGTCCTGGTGTCTGGTGAAATCCATGTCACTGCCTTGTGAATATCCTCATCCTTGAATACAGTGCCTCCAATCACCAAATGGTTGAATGCTCAGAGGTCTGCAAACAATTCTCCATTCTGGTTCATTTCACCGAGTGTTTCTCGACCCATGATCAGTTCTCTTCCTGTGTTGTTCGCTCCGAGTTTGGCATTCATGTCGTCCATTAGAATCTTGATGTCTCCAACTGAGGTCTTGTCAAGTGTTGATTACAGTTTTCTGTAGAATTTCTCCTTTTTCTTTTGATCTGCATTATTTGTAGGTGCATAGTGTAGCATTGTATGATTGTGACCTTCCTTCCTATTGAGTTAAACCTTGCTGTCATGATCCTGATCGTTGAGGAGATTGGTTCCCACTGTATGAGAGCCTTCGATGCTGTTGGGGACATCATGATAGTCACTCGAAAATTCAGTGTGCTGATGGTTGTCGTCTGGATGATGATATCGGAGTGGCTCATTGAATCTCCACAGTTGACAGTTTGTAGAGTCCACTTCCATTCCATCTGCTTTCGCAAATTCCAAGCACTTCGATGCCATATCTCCTCATCTCTTTCGCAATCTGGGCAGCCTTGGTAGGTTCATACATGGTGCGGACATTCCATGTCCTCATTCTTACTTTCGCTTTCGTCATCGGCCGACTGGCTTCCCGAAAGCTTTCATCAACCGGCGTCATTTCGTCTCCCTCATTCCAGCGAGGAATAAGTTTGTTTTCATTTTTTACAATTTCTTTGTGCTTTGAAATTTTTTAGCGATTGGATTGGTTTTACGGGGTAGGGTGGCTAGCCGTATTCCCGACCTTCCCTCTTTGTCCGGGCTTAAGACCGGCTAGTAACTAGTGAACTAGTTATCCAGGCAAGATGCTGATATGAGGTGTGATAACCCTCAGTGTCGCGTAATAGTACCAGGTCTTATGTTGATACTATCTGCCTACCTATCTACCCTCATTTGTCACTGTTTTGCTGCATAAAGTAGCCTTTACAAAGCTTGAGGTAACTTTTGGACTTATATATAGGCAGCAACAAGTTGTGTTTTCCGCCTTATATGATTTGCCTCCGAATAACATGACCAGTCAATCCGTACATTGTGAAAAGACAAATTTCAATATTGCCCTAGGACACGACGTACATAAAGGGAAAAGAACTTCAGCGAGTCACTTTGTTTTCGATCACATCAATCATTCAGAGTGACTTGTCGTATTTCCTTTAATCTTGTTCATACCATAAGAATTCGTCTTTTGTATGCAGTAAAAGCTTTTGGGATTCATGTTGGCAAACCAAACTTGTGTAAGGTGAAAAGAAGGCTGTTGTGTAGAATTCTGTTTTTACCCTGATCAGCCACATGATTGAATTTCACATTCATAGGCTTTATCACCAGTGGTAGGTGGGTAATCGATGTAACTAGTGTACATCCTAGTGCTTAATACTGATCACATGTTGGGCTTAATCTCCTGGTGGTTAAGTTTTTGACTACGTCACTGAGTAAGGCAGATTCGAGTCACTGAGGTTACTGGCAAATACCTCATGGTTGCAGATATGCTCTGTTGTAATATGTATGAGTGCCAACGAGCATGAAACCTAGATCGAGCCAGTGTCTATATTTAGCACCAAAAGTAGGGAGGAGCTATCATTGTATTTTTGTCTTCTAGCATATCCATTAAATTTGTTTCCCTCTTTTCTTTGTGTGTTTATTTTTCACATAAAAGTTTGCTGATACAACACTGAAATTATTGCTTCATCGTTTTCATAAACAACTTGTTGACAAAATGCAACGTCTTGGTGTTGATCTGTCGAAGTTGAATGAAACAGTTAAACCTCAAAACAGTGATGGTGATGCTGGTAAGGACGAATTGACTGCTTCATCATCTCATTATAATGAATATAATGCTAGTGATCAAACCTTGGTGGTTGATGAAAATGGTGACCAACACCAACCAACTCATCGGGTTACATTGCTTGGATCTGCACGTGTCAATTTTCACCTGCTTAGTTCAGCTGAACCGGGAATTGAAAAAAACCATGGAAATGCAACAATGAAATTTTCACAGTTGAATAAAACTCTTGCTGGTGGTACTTCAATGCTTGGTAGGTTGGAATTTACTGTCACTTACTCTTGAAACATAGAAACATATACCGGCTCCCGAAACCATCAGTGTTTCTCGGCATTTGACTCCACTGGAGCAAGGCTTTGTCTGATAAAACTTCATTATCAGCTCTAAGTGAACGTTATGTAGTCGAGCATCCGTGAGTGTGTTAGAGCCTCCAGTGAGGTATCAGATATTTTGTCTTTATGTTGAAATGTATTCATCAATAATGTCCTTTTTCTCCATTCTTATTTTAGTTTGTGGTAGATGCTCTTACGAAAATGGTTGTATGACTTTACCTCGATTAACTTTTTAACAGGAGTCTGCTTAGTTGGTTTTGAGTTGGTCGTTGATTTTATTATTTTTTATTTATTTTTCCTTTGGGTTCCTAGTGGAACATAAGGCTTCAGTGGCACGCCTCCATTGCACTCTGTTCCTTGCAGTCTTTGAACCTGGCGCCACAACTCCCCACAAGCTTTCAGTCGTTGATAGTTCATATTAAATGAAGGTTTAGATTCTTTTTGGTGGGTATTTTGCGTGATAATTTTTACCTACGCAAATGCGATTTGCTGCTCCAGCACTGGTTTGGCTGGCACTTGCTTTGGCGACAACAGCCGTAATAATAATAGTGATCACTTTATTCCCGGCGGTATGGTTGATGCAGTATAGGATTCTCAGCATGTAATATTTCATCATCTTACTTCTTGTACAATATTGTTAAAAGAAGTTGTTATTACGTCTAAGTAATGATGGTAATAAGTTTTGGAGGCAAGGAACGGTATGTAACGAGACTAGGTGTTTCTGCGCTATTGTCTAGTCACGGATCGAGGAGGCGGTGAATAAAAAAAGCATGAATAAGTTTTTTGATAGTAGTGGTCTTGATGATTTATCCAACCAGTACAAAAAATTGCAGTTCGAGGTTATCATTTCGGTCCTAGTTATTTCATGTATGTGTTAAGCGTGTCTCTTTTACCGCCTTTAATTGCTTTCTATGTCATTCGTATTCTTCTCTTGTATTTTGAGGTGCTGATATGACATGTGATAACTGTGACCATTACGCAGTTTTGCCAAATCCCATGTTGACGATCACTGACTGAGCAGACCTATCTTTCTATTATACGGCTTTCTGTGCAATTTGACCATATAATTATCTCTTCATCATACTACCTGAAGTCTCCTGCACCATTGACTTTCATCTAGTTATCGTCTTCAATCGGAAAACCTATACTGCGCTTCACAGATGAGACGCATTCCTGGAGAGCTGTTGGGAGGGTGTCTCCGTTGTTCATTGTATTTCTGCAATAATATATGGGGTTGGGCGATGTATGATTTTTCGGTGTATGTAACGCATGTTATTTTAATTAACTTCGTTGATAAAGGGGTATTATTGATAGTTAAGAAGCGAAATAAGTGTGAACGTATGTCATTTGCATATTGTATTAACCTGTTAAGCGAGGTGTTGAATGACTCTACCTGCAGCACCAACGATGTTTCGCACACTCTATATCCTATAATACGGGTGTTAACTATTTCATTAATAATGTTAAATTGGCATTTGTCTGAGTTATTAGGCATAAAAAGCAGAGAAATCGATCAGAACGTTGGTCTAAAGTTCCCGAAAGTGCTTAAAAATGTGTTTCCCTGTGTCACTGACTGTATATCTCTTGTGAAATATGCAATAGTTGAATGCAGTTGAATTGATGATGATGATGACGGTTGATCCTGATAGCTAGACATGCTGTCAGAAATCAAGGTGGAAATCTAGTGAAGCAGAGAGGGGGTCCCATTAAAAATTGTCTCACCGTTGATACAGCATATAAGGAAGAGAAGCTGTTTAAATGGGGGGCGGAGACAGAACTAGTCAATTTTTTGTGTATGTAAAAGTATTCCTAATCATATGCGAATCGAGTATTTCGCTTACTATATCATTCTGTCTGTGTACACGGCATTCTAACTCTGGTTAGTACATGATGAGAGCATAACTTCTGCATACACGATCATATTATCGAATAAACCATACATTTACAAAACTGTAGAACAGTGAGCTGTGGATGATGAATGCAATGGCTGATGCACAGCCGTAAGCAGATGCCATTGGTAACTTGTGGTTATTCCGGTTTCCGATTTATGTATGCAGAAATCGACCAACTGGTTGTGGGTACAGCACATTATTCCACTGGGATGCAAATACTGTGGTTTCGGAAATAAAGCAAAGCATGAGTTCTGAATTCCATCAAAATTGAAATAAAGTGGAAGAGCATCTTCTCACAGAGTCCAGCTGTCTTCATTGCAATAGTTTTTACGATCTTTTTGGATAACCATTCTCACATGAGTTTTCTGTTATTCATATTTTATTCCGTAGATCCCATCAACAAAGTTAAGAACCTGGTCTAGTATGACTAACGATTCGATGGGGTGGGGGAAGATGGTGACACATACACACCATGTATTTATACTGCTGGTACTCTTAGCTAGTTCAGCCGTACAAAATTCCTCTCTTCCGCCCAATCATCATACTCAGTGAAAACTTGCAGGTTGACATAATATGTGGAAAGCTATAGTGATATTTAGAATAAAAATGTAGTCTTTCAGGTTGGGTGCAACGAGGGTGTGTTTTGAGACTTGGCGATTACATACGTGACAGTCGATCTCGTTGGTGCAGAAACATCCAGATGATTTGTTCATATTATCTATCTATCCGTTCGTAGATCAAACACTATATATACTGTATGACAGTGTCCACTGATTGTTTGCGGCTTTTTCTTTTTACAGATAAGTCATTGCAGCAAAACATATTGGCTTTTTCTGATGATGATTGTGATTCACATGTTACACCTACACCATTCCGTAGTACAGTTCCTCCAGTTAAAAACAAACGGAAGAAGGCCAATTCAACTGCTTATCAGAGGAAGAAGCAGAAGTCAACTAATGTGAACTCCCGAAACGTTCCACCTACCAGGGCTAATCATCAAAACCTTATTTCAGAAACTTATGATGATGATGATCATCATCATCACGACGAAAGACCAAGCAGTTCTGTTGTCAGTCATTCAGTACCTCGTAACCATAGTCGAACTCCCAAAAATTCTAGACAATCTGACACACCATCTTCAGTGTCATCAAGATCAACTAAAACTTCTGGACGATTGACTCGTTCTTCTTTCCGGATATCAAGTCGAAGATAGTTGATTTACTGTATATCGATTTGCTAATATCAACTGTTTCACGTTGCCATTCACTTTGTATTCGTAAAAGGTGTTTCTCATTCGTCTCTTGGTTCTCAATGAATAATCATGAGGCGGAATGATGTCTGTGCCTTTTGGTTTTTTGCGTTGTTAATTGTAGTTCTTCTCTACGATAACGGTGTGGGGTGGGGGTGCAAAATTCTAGAAAAGCACTGAATTATGTAATTGGTATATTAAGTTTCGGGAGTTTGTGGGGATTGGTTGACTGACTTCAATCTAGATGGTATTCATCACAGATTGACGTTAGTTGGAGAATCATTTATAACCTACGAGTATTGCACAATTGTTTCATCCCGATGTTAGACTCATTAGTCACGTACATCCTCAATCTCGCCAGGAATGAAGTCTAGTATCGTGAGGTTCTACTACGAGTGTGTTACTATTAATTAGGTAGATTCAAATCATTCTCTCTTTATTCTTGTGGTCTTCGAGACATCCTTCTAGAAATTTGAATTGTCTTTCTTTAGGAATTTTATATTCCAATTGTCTGATGTCATGCCTCGCTAATAGTTATGTTTTTCTAATTGTTACCGGTAACTGAGTGAACTGACTGTATGCACTCGTTATTACAACATTTCGCTGCAGTAGGTGGGATCTAGGAAATTACCATGTGGTGTTTTTTGAAAACAACGAATGCCAAGGATAAAAATCCGTATTCAATTATAATTTCCAGTAATTTGGACATTTCTCCTTAGGAGCTGTAAATGTCTTCCTTGCAACTTCGCTTTCTATTTGAATAATACCGAAATGTCTATTTCTATCTGAGTATCCATATCCTGATCGTATCCTAGGGTCAGAAGTTGTACCAGTCACCTGGATGTATAGTCAGTTTTCTGTAAGTTATTCAACAGCTCTCTCAAAGAAGGTTTTTGGTCCTTTCCACTTTGTCCAACCCCTGTGTAGAAGTCTTCATCTCCACTCCTCATAATTGTCAACCTGTTCCGTTTGAAAAGGGTTCTGTTACACCGCTCACATAAATGAAGGCCATAGTGAATACTGTTGGTAAAAGTACGCAGACAGTTTCTAGTCAAGAGTCTCTCGTGTTATGTTGAGGTGAGGGATGATGGTTACATAAGATATCCATTACAGTATAAATGTTTACAGTTTAGCGATTGATATACAGCCAACCGACACCTATGAAAAACTTGATCTGATGAAAATCCAGATGACTAACATGCTTGGACAAAAAACATTCTGACTTACAACCCAGTGGGGTAAGTTACCAAACAAATACGCATGCGAAATTTCCCGTATCAAATACTTTCTAAAACGCAGTATGTCAGAGCCGCGATATTGGTTCGGACAGTTGACTTCCAATCAGTGGATTGTGGTTTCGGACCCACGCACCTACCAAAGCTTGAGTAGCCAGGTAATGTCTTTCAGTGGCACGCAATAAGTGTGACTCATTGACTACTTCTGGAGCATGCAATGAGTAGTTGGATGCATTTCTTTTTCGGAGATTTTTCATTAGTCATGAACGGTACTACTTGATGACACTATAATAATGAAAATTATTCGTAATAATTATTGTAGTTCTGTACTCTGAACTGACATTGGTGAACTGTTTAAATGGTTTAAACGGAGGAGGCTAAAAATCAATCCCAGCAAAGGTGCAGTAATGTTCACTTGAAATGACTTTAGTAATAGAGACTAGTACATAAGATTTTAGAACAAGACAGGCAGTAATTTTCGGTTGCAACCTAAGGACAACGAATTCTAAAGCTTCTGAAGGTGAATCAATTCGCATACCCTAGTTACTTCGTAGAGCATTTGAATGCGACTCAGATGGGGTAAACACGTGTTGCGCACACTGGGCAGCCTCACACTTCGACTATGAGGGTTAAACTAGATTGGAAAAAAGCACAGAGATTGTCAAGATCAAAGAGTGTTCGGCGAGTCCTGGGAATCGGTCACACTGATACCGATGAATTCACATTTTGACGTCTTCTAAGCCTCATTCAATCTTTGTATTTCCTCTGTCCAAAATTTTTACAGTTAAAGAATAATTTGGTATCCGTATTGGGACATTTTGTCCAATATTGTGTTGATCACAACCATTGCAGTTTATTTTGTAAATGATATTTGCTTCGTTATCTTTGGCTGTTGCGTCCTTTGGTTTACGTAATATTGTTTGAAAGGATATTTGTTGGTTTCTGAGCTACATCAATCCAAAGTGGCTTCAGTAATCGTGACGTGATCTTTGACATATTCTTTATGTTAGGGTAGGTTGAACCGTTTACTGATTTCTGTCGGACTTTCTAGTTGATGATGCATGCGATAGATATCTTCTGACGAAGTTTCATGGGCAGCCGTTCTGTAGGATCAACATCACGTTATTTCATTGTTTCTCCGTGAAGCTGTTGCACTGCAGTATGTTCTCGCTGTTCTGAATACAGCTTGCACGCAACTGATTTTGTCCGTTGTTGGGTTGCAGCTACTGTAGTTGAGGATTTCGGTCAATGTGCGTTGGCTTCCTGTACACTTGAATTTCTAAATTTTGGGCACTTTCTGCTGAGAAAAACATTTAGAAATAAACGTTGGTTGCTCGACTCCTCTGTCGTAAATTCAATGTCGATGAAAATCTTTCTATTCAAATTGTTAGTGTATTCTAAATCATCTTTTTTAATGATGACAAAAGTATCATCCACTTAGCGTATCCAAAGTTTTGGGTAGATCACAGGTAAAATGATAGCTTCCAGTCTCTGCATCACTCCTTCAATTGAGTAGGATATCAGTGATCCCATTGGAGTTCCCTTTATCTGAGTTCCATCAGACTTGAACATTGAGGTTATGTGCGTTTTGAAAGACTTGTTTCTTTAGTGACGAGGAGAGACTTAATATCCTTGGCCAGTTGTGGTTCGATTTATGTTGCGTCGAAGGATGCAATTAATTTGTTCTCTATATAAATGCCTTTGTTGTTTTACTATTCTGTCAGTGATTTGATAGAATGTCCGCAAGATTGTACAAAGTATTTCAGTTTCCTCGATATCACCTTTGAAACTTAGTCTAAGATATAAAGGTTTCTTAGAAACGTTATCCTTTCTTATCTAGGTCTCTACATGCACATATTTATAAAGTAAAATAGACAATCGTTTTGCTAAGAAGTTATCTTCAGCTTATCCATTTCTTCTCTGTGCAGTCGTCAGAGAATATTTTCCTTATTAAGTGGTGGGGAATATTAGCAACCCAGGTGGATCATTTCGGTTGTGTTCCCTGAGCTGGGTGGTTCATTCGTGAAGCTTTCATTGTCTTTCTAGATAACATCAGGACTAACTTCACTATGGATTGAGCTGTCAGTATTTCTCCGCGTGTTTCTAAGTAGCTTATCTCGACAAAGTGGTTTGTGACTGGTTGTTTCCTTCGATAGTTGCGGCATTGACTGCACAGGTTTTCTTGTTGACTGCTTCTCTGCTTGACCTCTGACCCTTTAGTTGACAACCATCTTTCCTGTTAGTTGATTGAAAAATAGGAAAGATATCGTTAAACTCCCAGCAGAGAAAGGACGCACCATTGTTGTTATGGTTAAGGAAAACTACATCAGAGGGTTTACTCAAAGACGAAAAATGTACATCAAGGACTTGAAACCAGCTATTCGAAAGTCCGGCAACCAGATCTACGAAATCTTGAACAAGCTATTCAAAGATTAGGTAGGTGGAAAGCGGAGTTGCTGACGCACGGCGCTTCGTGAAGGTTGTGCTTGCATCTGCTGAAGAACATGGAGCTGTTCTCGGAAATGCACATAATGTTAAGTATAAGATTACTTCCTGACCCGCTACTTGAAGATAAGTTAACGAAACGAGAAATTGGGACCAAATGAGGTCGTGGCAGAAAAAAGGGAACGAAACCTAAAATACTGGGTTTTCAGATAGTGAAGTCTGAGGAGCCAATGATGCAGAGGCGACCGTACACAAGCTCGATAAGTGCCCAGGCTGCACAAAGGTTTTTTATGCCAATTACCGTAATTTCAGGCATAAGTTATCTGAGTAGTAGTATAATGGTTCTCATATGATACCGTCGTTGGTTGGACCGGATTGATCGGTCTCTGTTAACATGTATGGGCTCCTGTGCAGATGCCTCGATATTGCTGAATAGCAACAAAACTCAGAACTTATGAGTCGGACCGATCTGTACCAAGTATTTGGTGTGTAGACTTGATGGCGAATAGAGACATAGCCTCACTAGAGCGGTCGGTCAATGCAGACTGGACTGTTGAAAAGGTTCGGAAGGAAAAAATGTATAGCAGCATTTAAAAAAGCCACATCTTTTTACATTTTTCGATTAGTACCACTGGGGACTTCTCATGGATCCCGTCGGATAGATAATGAGATCCGAGGGGTTGTTGGTGGGGAGAAAGTTCTGCAGCGATTTTTTTATAGAAGGGGTTTGCGCTATGTATAAGTTAGAGTACCCCAAAGTTATGAATTCGCAAGACTCCACAATAAATGATGCATCGAATACGGGAGGCAGCTGGTTCATTCTTATGTCTGTTGTCCTGAAGAATTACTCACATATTAAGCGCAGAACCAAAACGTCTGGTGGAACACCTACGCCACTTCTCAATGAAAACTTAGATGTTTAAATGAAGTCGGACATTGAAATAGACGGAAATTATCGAATTTCATCAGTAACATCATTTCAGTAGATAGTGACACGTCTTGTAGAACTATGGCTGAGGCCTCGGAAATGGCCTCTATTTCGTTGCAGTAGTGTTCGGATGGCTAGATAATCTAAGACATGATGGGTTATCAGGTCCTCATGGTTTGCACCTGAGGTTGTTACTGACATTATCCATGAACCATTAACACAAATATTTAGTCCGTCTCATATTCGGATGCCTAGAGAGGGAAGACATGGTGCTGTGCTCTGTCCTGAAAGGATGGCAATAGCAAATTAGTTCCTAATTATCTGCCATAAAATTTAACTTGCATAGCGGTGGATTT